ATGTAAGTAGGCTGTTTTACTTTTGCGCTGTCTGTTTGTATATTTGGTTTTTGCTCACATAAATTTGTATTCGTCTTTTTGCAGAATATTCTGTATGTTATTGTTTTCTTCTTAGGCCGTCAAATCAAAATACATCTTCTTCTCAAGCAAACAAGAGTAAGCTGTTCATTCCAAAGGGTCAACTCAAGAGAATTGAAAGGTGCTGTTTGTCCGAAGAAACTTTTGTTTCAATTACTACAAGAGAATCGTTCATTTTAAAAAACTTATCTCCATTATCTACTAAAGTGCTTATAATAACATGTAAGTATTCAATTTCAGTGTGGTTTACATTGAACTTCATCTGGAGTAGAATTGTGCCTGTATAATCTTATTGCAACGTTCATGCTCATACAAAAGGTGTAATCATGTACTATATCCATAGTGTGATTTGGGCATTCTCAAGCAATTATATATCATATTCGACCACAAGTAAAAGAAAAATGAATGTTTTAAGCGATTGTTAAGTTATGAACAAGGGTCAAATCATATTTTTTATCTGCATTTTTTTCTATGATGGTCATCAGAAAAAAAGGAGGAATGCAAAAGTATAAAACAAAAACAAACAAAGAACATCGGTGCATATAAGATCAATTTCAATAAGTGTTTCTGAAAAAAGCATTAATTAGTTAGTTAAGTTGTTATATTTATGTTCAATTGTTTCTCTCACTCTCCCACACTCTCTTTGCCTCCTTCTCTTCTTCAAAGCCAAAAAAGACTTCCATGTCATTGTGCCTTGACTCTGTCTCTCTGTTCTGAAGTACAAAAGCCAGAAAATTAAGCTAATCAATTGGATAGTTTATTGTAAATCGTTGCTTTACACATGGAGTAGTTGAATGGCTACAAAATTAACAAGAATAAACTTGCACTCGTTTAAAACACGTGATTTCAATCTTATTCTTGAGATTTTCATTTAAGCACTTTAGAATATGGCATGCGTTTTTTTTTATCGTCGTAATCGTTTTTTCGTGTAAGAGCCGATTTGCGAATACTTTAAATTAAATCGAGATGTTTGTTCTATCTCATTTTCATTTGCGGCAATTTGGTCGTATAATGGTGAAATGCATGAAACGGTTTTATTATCGTTATTGACATGCTTGTTGAAATACATGACCGTCAAATTTATGTGCGAACAAATTGAATTGCTTGCCGACCATCGTCACAACGGGAATTTTCCACAAAATTCAATGGCGTACAATTCTTACAATGTTTACATGAATGCTCTGTGATTCATTCAATCGAATTCAATTGTCCATTGATCAATATCTGTTTAACAAAACAAATCGGCAATAGAGGTCTTCGACATAGTAAACCACACGGTCACCAAAACTTCGAAAAAAAAAAACGAAAACATTGGACACATTTTTTTTCTTTCTCGCTCGTTTTTCTTGGAATTCAAAGCGATCAAATTATAATTTTATGGATCGCAATTTGTGCTCCGCTTTTTTTCGTGCAATTTGAAATCAATCTTGGTAAATGTGTATTCAATTGTAATGTATAAACGATATTGGTAGTTTCATCATTCACGCCACTGAAGCATGAATTCGTTTTCGAGCATTTTTTTTTATTGTTGCATTAAATAGCTGTGTTTGATTTACAAACGGCATCACATACAAATGGACACGTACAGCTTCACTTCGTTACGCATTTAAAATACAATGTCAAACGTACAACCAGCGAATAATTATGCTCGCACATACAAGTCTAATGTTAACAGTCGTGTTTGTACGCTTTTTTCACTCTAAACATTGCGGTGATTTTTTCTTTCATTTTCATTTACACAAAGCATTGACAATTTCCCACCAACAACCACACTTTTTTCACGCAAATCAACACAGTTTGCACAATTAGTATAAATTCAGAAGTATTTGAAGCACTCAATCACATTTCCGAATCAGAATTAAACATGTTCAGTTGGTAAATATTTGAATTTATCTCATTGTGTACCGCTCGTGCTGTGGTTTTTTTTATTTCTTGCAAATTTAAAATTAATTTGTAAGCTAATAATTTGGGTATATTTTGGAAAAAAAGGAGAGAATAAAGTGTCAGAAGGAATACAAAAGAAACGACGAATGAAAATAGGAACATTTTTCATTTTTTTTTTTATTGAACAATAAGTGATTTTGCATTAAGTTGGCCAAGTGATTTTTATAGCAACGTGTGATAATAGTGATAAGTCTAATAAATTTTGATACTAACAATGGGATTAAAACGGTGGCAGCTCGTGGTTTTGCTCTTAATTGGATCAGTGTTATTAGTTCGAAGCCACAAGCACGAGGAGGAGAGTGGATTTGAAGAAGATGGCGGCGAAGACGATCACGAAGACCATTTCGATGAAGAAGGTCACAAGGGCGAAAAAGGTTATCACAAAAAGGTAGTGTGAATGTGTCTAGAAATGATTTGCAACGAATTTAATCAAAATTTACACATATTTCGATGCCTAATTATTTGATTGGTTGTTTTTCGTTCGCACAGGAACACCATGACAAAGGAGAGAAAGGTCATTATGATAAAGATCACGAAGAACATCACTTCGATGAGGTTTGTTATATCAAAGTATTTAAAAAGTTTGAATCAATCTGGAGGTCGGTGTCACCGAATCGTAAAATACGGTCTAAACAAATTGCTTTTGAGTTTACATGTGATCTTCCCTAGTAAATAAATCGCTAAGCCATATTTTTTGTTTATATACGAACAGGAACATGGTCATAAAAAAGGTGGACACGACGAAGAAGACGAATATGGCGATCATCATGAGGAGAAAAAGGGATCAAAAGGTGACAATAAAACATCCACTTTTTATTCAATTTGAATCGATTGAAATAAAATCTAATACTAATTAAAAAAAATCAGGCGGAAAGCATGGACACAAGAAATTCCATAAGAAAGGTTCGAAAACCACGGGATTCCATCATAAAGCGAATAAAGATGATTTCCACAAAGAGCATAAATTCTACGATAGTGAAGAGAAGAAAGGTGACCATAAAAAATACGGTAGCGAACATGAATTCCATGAGTCCAAAAAGGGAGAACACAAAAAAGGCGAAAAACATGATTCTGGATATGATGAAGGACACAAAGGTGATCTAAATGCATTTTTACACCAAAACTATAATGTTGTAAATAACTGTCGATTTTTTGTGTGTGTGATTATCGATATATTAATCGCTATGAGAATTAATATCATACTTTATTATAAATCCCTTTGAACAATTCCTCTAAAGCTAGTATTTAAACATTAATTCATGTTTTGTAGGCAAGAAAGGCCATCACAAGAAAGGGCACCATGATGAAGAGCATAAAGGACACAAAGGTAAAGTTGTCAAAATGATGAGAAAATTGCAACATTTAATAAAAAAAATGGTTTTTGCAGGAAAACATGGACATGAAAAACATCATCACCATGAAGACGAGTACGAAAAGAAGGGAGGAAAGAAAGGTGGACACAAAAAAGGATACGAAGAGAAAAAAGGCGGTCATTAATAACCAATATTCAATGGATTTTGGAATGCCAATTTATATTGACACCATTAATCACCATATCATTTCAATTCTCTTATTCGATGCTGGCTTATTTGATACAATTCAATCATTCTATCTTAAAAATTGTCATCAATTCTAGTAATTTCAAGAGCTTTATGCAAGTGTGAAAAAACACAAATAAAAAAAATAATTGAAAGAAAAAGATTCTTTTTTTTAATTTTAGACTTTATCCAAATTTCTAGCCAAGTTTTAACAACATTTTTTGAAAATCATTGAAACAGCATTTTCAGTGTTGCCATTTAAGAATTCATCGTTTTTCTGTGTTTGCAGTGAAGTTGACGCATGTCAGATATGCCATTAGTGCATGTATTTGACAAACCACGTCAATCCCATTTTATTATCCATATAAATTGTGTGAGTGTGCTTTCGCTAGTAGAAACAAACATTACTCTCAAATTATATTTATTTAATTGGCAAATAAATAAGTGAAATTAATCAGAATGGCAAACAAGAGTCCACTTTCAATCCAAGACATCCTGAAATCCATCGAACGGTACGTATTTTTATGTGTATATGAGTTGAAACATTGATACATCGACGGTGCTTCCTATCATAACCTCACAATTGACACCGTATCAAGCATTCACAAGTTTATGGACGCATTTTATTGAAATTTCAATTCCAATCATTTCAGATACAATCCAGAGCATTTGCCAACATTGGAGAATCATGTGCGCGAACAAGCGAAGGGAAATACTTATGATTTGGAAGTGAATTTGGCCGTTTTAAAATCATACCAATTCGACCCGACACTATTGAATTTGGAAATCACAAATTTGATTTTACTCAAGGCACTCACCAATTTGCCACACACCGATTTTACATTATGCAAATGTCTTTTGTTGCCAGCCCAAATGGAAGATTCAACCATCAGCGATATCATTGAATTGGCTGACATTTTGGAAAAATGCGATTTTGAATTGTTCTGGTCAAAAATCCTATCCACACCCGATTTGATTGTAAATGTTAATGGTTTCTTCGATTCGATTCGTAAATTTGTTTGCAATGTCATCAATATCACATTCCAAAACATTTCGGCTGACTACTTGAAGCGATTGTTGGGAGATATTAATGGTAAATATACCAAAAACCGACCCAATGATTTTGAATATGATCCGTATCATTAAATTAATCAACTTCTCGATTTTCAGGCAATGCATTTAATCACTGGGTCAAGAAATACGGCTGGAAAGATGAAGGTGATGTGATTGTTATCACAAAACAAGACGAAAACATCAAGACAAAGAACATTACCGAAAAGATTGCCTTCGAGAGCCTAAGCAACATCATGTCAAAATGTTTGTAAATGCACCAGATACACGCTCACCAGAAGATTACATTTATTTTACCCTCTTTCATAACAACAACAATAAAAATCGTCCGATAAACATCGGACAATGAAAAAAAGAACGATTTTTTTTTCTTGTATTTTGTTCAATAATTGTCTTTTTTTATTGAATTCAACTAAAAAATAAAACAAATCAAATATAATTTAACTCGGCACGTTTCCCATGTTTATATTTTAAGGAAATTATTCGTTGTAAATTTCCGTTCATTTTATTTTGCAATTAACTAACGACATTATTCGAAATAAAAATGAATGATGAGTTTGAATAAGAAACATTGTGTATAAGGGGCCTTACAGTCTAAAACGAAATGTATATGTGTGTGTTTTTTTTCAGCAGGGTTTTTTTGTTGTTTTTTCTCGCTGTTTTTCATCTATTGTTTTTTGAAACTTTTCAAAATTGGATAGATACTGTCGAACGCATCGTAAATTTCCTGACGCACTTTTGCACCGGTCAGCACAACTTTACCAGAAACGAATATCAAGAGCACAATTCTTGGTTTGACCATACGATAAATGAGACCCGGAAATAATTCTGGTTCATACGAACTGAACTGGGCATGTGTTAAAACTAAACCCTCCAATCGAATTGGAAATTTAACGTCGCAACTACCGACCATATTTTGTATTTTAAAATCTAAAAATTTCGCTGTAAAACCCAATTTTTGTATGATACGAGCATATTTACGAGCAGCAAGCCGTGAATCGTCTTCACTTTTCGCACCCGTACACACCATTTTTCCCGATGAAAATATCAGCGCAGTCGTTCTCGGTTCTCGTATTCTCATTATAACGGCGGCAAAACGTTTTGGATTATACTCAGCATTACGAGCGTGTAAGGCGATCTTTTTCAAGTCAAGTTTACAATTTAAATTCACTGTTGACACAATGTTTCTGCGCAAAGAGGAAAGAAAATTGAGAGAAACGATTAATAATCGATTTTTCGTCGCTGAAGTGGTGCAGTGGTGTTAGCACTAAAAATCAATGTGTTTACTGTAATTGAGGCAAAATAGCAGGATCCGTTGAACCGGGAGTCATCGGTGTCATCGGAGTTTGTGGTCCAATCATTTGATGAACATTTACGCTGGGCAAATTCTCGTTCACACGGTCTGTCATTGGTACCATTGGTGACATCAAACTTTGCTGTTTACATTAAGAAAAAGAGTATCAAAAATGAGTAAATCACATTTGGAACATTGTAAATTTGATGAACAAACCGGTGTTTGTGGTTGCATCATGCTTTGTGGTGTTGTGTAGCTGGGTTGGTAACTGCTCGCCTTGGTCGGTGTGTTGATTAGTGATGGCAAACTAGTTGTTGTGGATGTTTCAACGTTCGTTTGTAAACCGCTGCTACCAACGCCATTATTGCTATTACTAGTGCTAGCGTTGCCCATACCGACTGGCGTTAAACCAGTCGGCGGATGACTTGTCATCATTGCATTTTGTGCATAATATGGATTGTTTGCGATAATTGTTTGATCTTCTTCCAATTGTTGAAACGGTGTACCAATGCTGGGTATGCTAAACCCTGGACTTGGTAGCATTTGATCCATTGTGAATTAAGTTTTCGAATAGAAAAAAAGTACGTTTTGCTCCCTTAAAAACAATTCACAACCAGCCACCAGGTCTATTGCTCGTTTATAAATTTGTACAAATTAAATGTTGGCCACAAAGAAATCGCCACAACGCTTTTTTTTAACTAATAAATTACTTAAATTCTACTTTGCATAAACACAATTGAAGATTTAAGGTTAAGTCTTCGCTGTATTGATTGTGTTTTTCGCGGTTTTCATACGATCTTAACACATTTTTCTATCGAATTTTCACTTTTACCGCATTTCTTTCACTAATCGTAAATAATGTATGTGATTTTCATGGACTATTCGATTATTGACGAATTTTCCATCCAGAAAATATGTTAATAATACGTTGTTGTGTTTATGCATCAATCGACTGATGTCAGAATTGACAGGTCGTTTATTTTTTGTAATATTGCTGGGCGAAAACGAGACAGCGATAGTGAATGACAAAAAAAAACTTTCCGTTGTCTTCATAGGCCTTCAAATCAATCAATTGTCATTGAATTTTATACCATGTTGTATGCAATGAAAATCACTCAGTCAATAATTACAATTTCACCAGTGACTTTCGTTGACTTTTTCTTGACATTTGTTAAACTATTTTTTTTAAATTTAATCGCTTGTACTTGATGTACGCTTTGATAGGCAAAATAAACAATACGGATAAACATCGCACAATGGCCCCATAAAATTATAATTAATTCATTTTCTTTGTAAAGAATATTCAAATTGTACAATTTCATTTAGTTTCAATTTAAAAGAATCTCAAAAATGGCTATAAATTATAAAAAAATAATAAAAAAAAACATTTTAGAAATGAAGTTGTCAATTTGTTCGACAAACAGAGCCCTCTGTCGTTCATTGAACCAAATTGTACAAGTATTGACAAATACCATGTCGCTGTCTCGCTCTACGTTTGCCACACACGTTTGTCGGTGTGATTGAAAATATTCTGTATAGAAATGTCAATCGTTTTGTTTGGGAATCAGACGTGAAACATTGCTGATTAAAATCGGTTTAGTTTTCTGCTTGAGAAAAGTGCATTCTGTGTTAATTGATTCAATCAATAAAATATAAGTTAAATTTTTTTTAAATTGAAGACCAAAAATGGAAGCAAGACCGTCCACAGCTTTATCGGATGCAACACCGACTGGATCACAAACACAAATTATTACACCAGATGAAATACCCGATCAGGTAATATAACTGTCTAGACTTAATTTCAGTGGAATGAAATCATACAGGCGACCTAAAGTCATCTATTTTAGTCTATCTCCAATGTAGATTCTACATTGTAATGGAGTTAGAGAGATACGCAATAGAATCATTCAAAGTAATTTTTATAATTCCAATAAGTCAACACAAAATTCGGTATATTGATTCTAGAATGTTCATTGCCCTCACATTGATTCATTGTTTTTTTTCTTCTGTCGAATGGTATTTATATAACTTATGTGCATGTAGTATATAGTGAATGACATTATGTGAAAAGTGGAAAATGTTCTTATATGTCGCTCAGTTTTGTTTACTCATGGACCTATTCAACAAAGTAGCCGTAACAAACACACATTTTTATATAATTTTTAAATGTCTTTTGGATGTTAATGTTTTTCCACGAAAACAAACTTCAGTGGATGATATTGATTTTGATGTTTTTGAGTATCTATTGTTGGTGCAGTTGAACATTCTTTAAAGGAGCAATATAAATAATGGTATTTCAACAAAATGCGCCTAAAGTTATTATTTAACTGCTTTATGTAGTTCAGCCTATTCGATTGTAATATGTGTTCATCTTATCTTGTTATTTCATACTTTTTATCAACGTAATCCATGCTCAACTTAGTGCAATCACTTGACACTTTGATTCAGTCACATTTTTGGCAGACGTAATACGAGTTGTATTGACTATTTTGCAAAAGACAAATTGAAAAACATTTATAATCTTTTTTTTAGTTTTTTTTTTTAATTTTATTTGTGTATATTTTTGAAAACCACGCGTATGAAAACATATGCAAAGAGCACCGGATCTATAACAAGTTTTGCATAGATAGTTTTTTTTATCGAGCTTTGGGCAGATAGCAAATCAGTCTTGATTAAAAATCCAAAAACATTGAACTTGAATGCAATTTTATGTAGTAAACACGATAATTCCCCATAGAAGAAATTTACTTACAACGGAATTTATTTTAAGTGACCTCAAACAAATGACCTCAATTTTTGATGAAATCAAAGTTGACTAATTTTGTTGATAAGATAAAAAAGTGGTCAAATTTGTTACAACAGAGTAATGGCATTTAAAAATAAAACTCAAAGCATCACAGTCTTTTTCGTGTACTCAAGAAAAAGTTGACACTTTAACTCTGTCACAATTTTGTCAGATATAATACGAGTTTTATTGACCATTTTGTAAAAGAAAAAATAGAAAAACATATAAAATCAGAGTTGTGTGTCATCATCGTTGCAAAAGTTCTTGTTCATAATCAATTGTAATGTGTGCGTTAAGACGTTTTGTTTTCAATAAATATTCACACACTGTTCACCGATGCTTTTCCACAAAAAGCAGGCCATATCCATTAGATGGAATTCGTGTGCTTGATCTCACACGCATTGGTAAATGACTTTTTTCAATCAATTATAAAAATCGATATTATTAAATTCGTTAAATGCGTCGATTTGTTTTTCAAAATTTAGTGGCTGGTCCATATTGTACGATGATATTAAGTGATCTTGGTGCAGATGTAATAAAAATCGAACGACCGGGTGATGGTGATGAGTCACGTAAATGGGGTCCACCATTCGTACAGAATTCCACTGATTCTGTATACTTTTTGGCAAACAATCGAAATAAGCGAAGTTGTTGTATTGATCTGAAGCGTGGCACTGATATCCTCTACGATTTGGCAAAGAAATGTGATGTCTTAGTTGAAAATTACGTGCCTGGCAAACTAGATGAATATAATTTGGGCTATGACCATATGAGCCAAGTTAATCCAGGGTTAATTTATTGCTCAATAACTGGCTACGGCAGTGTAGGTCCATATGCAAAACGTCCTGGTTATGATGTCATAGCAGCTTCTGTGGGTGGCCTTCTACATATAACGGGTTCTGAAGATGGACCACCGGCCAAAGTTGGTGTGGCCGTTACTGATTTGGCGACGGGATTGTATGCACACGGTGCCATCATGGCGGCATTAATACAGCGCATGAAAACGGGCAAAGGGCAAAAAATCGATTGCAATCTATTGTCCACTCAAGTTGCAAGTTTGATAAATGTCGCATCCAATTATTTGAATGCACAAAAAGAAGCGAAGCGATGGGGAACGGCACACGAAAGTATCGTACCGTATGAAGCATTTCAAACAAAAGATGGCTATTTGACTGTTGGCACTGGCAGTGATTTACAATTTCAATCACTTTGCCACTATTTAAATATAGACCACATTCCAAAGGATCCAAAATTCAGGAATAATCAAGAGAGAGTCAAAAATAGAACCGAATTAATATCGATTCTATCCGAAATATTTGCCAAAGAAACGTCACAGCATTGGATGAAATTATTTGAAAATGCACCATTTCCAAATGGTCCGATAAACAAAATTGCCGACGTATTTGACGATCCGCATATCAAAGAAATTGGTATTGTGAAGACATTGTCGCACCCAACTGGAGGTGAAATAAAAGTCGTCGGGCCACCCGTCACATACAGCGACTCATCGAACACAGCACGGACTGCCCCACCATTACTAGGTCAACACACTGACGATGTGCTACGAAACATTTTAGAATATGATGAACAAAAAATTATGCACTTACGACAACAAAAAATTATTCAATGAGGTGTTTTCATCAATTTTATCTTTGGAGATGGATAATTTAGGGGAACACATTCAAAATACTCAGATGGTTAATGTGTTTTGACTAAAAAAATTGGTTCAAAAAAATGTTCAATGAAATGTAAAAAATAAATAAAAAAAAGAAAATGCATGCGATGTAAAAAGTTGTAATTTTCTTTGATTATTATAATGCGGTTGATGTAGGATTAGGCCAATCCCAAAAAGCAATCTTTTTGATTGATGGAAAAATGCAGAAGAGTGAAAAACACTCCATTATCATGTCCCTAATTAATGGGTGTACTTCACCTCACCACAGCGATGGAATAACTTTGTAGCTTTACCCAAATTCCCCATAGAATTTTCCGCATGACTATGCGATAAGATAGACCATGTTTTTTGCATCATGCATATCTTAAAAGCAAGTTGTTTTTCATATTTTCGTACACAAATATAGACAATCGTAGTGTATTCCTCGACATATATATATACTAGGGGACGGACACCATTATAAATATTAGAATATTAGCGGAATATTAGCGGAATATTAGCAAAATATTAGCAAAAATTAGTTTGTTTTGCTTCACCATTGCTTGTTAGAGAATTGCGCACTTTGCTCACCGAAAACTTTTTTTGTCACTTTAAGTGTTTTACTATTTAATAGAAATAAATTTTATTCTTTCTAAACCAGGAAAAATAAAAAAATGTTAAATGTTCATCTAAGAATTTATGAAAAATTCATACATGATTTCACTTTGAGATCAGCTATTTGACGTTTGACGTTTATACCAGTGAACTAATATTAGCAATTGCTAATAATATTAGCAATATAAGTATTTCTGTATAGTTATAATAGTAGATTTTTTTATTAATATTAGAAAAATATCAGCAAAATTAGCAGTAAACTATGAAACTAGATTTTACTAGATTTTGTGTCCATCCCCCAGTATATATATGAGAATAGGTATTTTAGTTCAACATACGCTTTTATTTGCGTCTATTTTTGAAAACCACGCGCAAACACACCTCCATGCAAAGAGTACCGGATCGATATTGAGGTTTTTTTCTTTCTTCATCTCATATTACAACAAGTTTTGCATAGTTTAATGAAAATAAACAAATGCACTGAGATATGACGTCGATATTTCTTTTTTTTTCTCAAGCTCTAGACAGATAGCAAACTAATCTTGATTGAAAATCCAAAAACATTAAACTTGAACGCAATTTTATGTGGTAAACACAATTATCCCACATACAAGAAATTCATTTACAACGGAATTTATTTTCAGTGGAATTCTTGGAACACGATTGAGCTCCAATCAAATGTCAAAAGTCAAAACAAATGACGTTCTATATATTTTATGACGTTAATTTTCTAACGACTGCTGTTGTAATTATTCAATGAAAATACGGACGATGACAGTCAATTCAGTTGTTTTAAACTACGTTTTTATTTGTAATCCAAATATAATATAATATTTTATGACGAATGGCATGCACTAGATGAGCTTCGATGAAATCATAGTTGATACATTTTGCAATTCATTAATTGAAATCATTTTGTTGATAAGATAAAACAAAGTAGCCAAATTTATTAGAGAAGTGGGACATATGTCGAGTAATAGCATTTATGAATGAAACTAAAACATTCCACTTGAAATCCCTTTGTTTCATTCAAAATATAAAATCTGTTTACAATATGATAGCAATTGTTGTTTGACACGCTTCTATTATGTTTGGGACATACTTGTGCGATAAGAATGTTTAGTAAACATATGATCACATAGTATAATAATGAATTCTAATTTTAATTTTATTTTTTAATATTTTTCACTCGAATGTTCAAAATGGAATATATTATTTTAAATAGAAAAAATCAATTTCTTTTTATAGGGTGCACCCGTACTTCGCTTAAATTTACGTAGAACATCAGCCGAGAAAAAAGTGTCATGGAACTCAGACACTGTGGACAATGAGAATATGGGCAGAAAGAAATCCAAATGTATGTTTCAAATTTAATCGGTTTTATTGTTGACCATTAACAACAAAGAACGAATAATTTTTGAAAAAAAAAAATCCAATTTTGCACAAAGATTCAACTTTTCAATTTATTTAGATTTTTTTCAAAAAATTAATTTTGAATTTGATAATAAAAAAATGATTTTCTGCACATTTAAAAATAAAATTTTAAAATGTTTCAGGTTGCTGTATTTATCAAAAACCATTGGCATTCGGCGAGAGTTCATCCGAGGAAGACGACGATGAATGTGAACATTGCTTCGGTCACGTCGAAAAGAAGAAAAAGAATCAAAAGAAGACACCTGGCGATGGCGAAAATCCCGAAACCAACGGACACGGTTCACATGACCACCCCGAACCGTCAAACATCAGTTGATTTAATTAATTCGCAATGTTCCTTTGAATGATAACTATAAAAATGCTTTTACCTATATATTAAAGACATATGTGTAAATTAACCTTTTTTTTAGTGTTTAAGACAAAATTGGGTAAAAATTATTTTAAACATTTTTTCCCCAAATATCAGCACACACGAAAATGTCAACAATTTTGAAAGTTCATAAAACGGGAATGTTTACATTCATATTGATTTAATATAATATATTTGCGAATGAAATTTTATATGCTTTATGTGTGGCTCTATCTATAGCAGAGAGTAGAAAACGCTGCCGCTATAGTAATACTATATTAACAGTGCCTATAAATAGTTACTATTTGTACACATTTCGATTGTGTGACCACAACAATTTTTGCGAACTCCAATGTGAACAATGTAACTCTTTATATGTAGATTTTAAATACAAAGAGTTACTATAGCGGTAGTGTTTTCTACTCTCTGATCTATAGAGAGTAAAAATCACTGGAAAATTGAAAAGAAATCCAACTAGAATAGTAATTTATTGTCCAATTTTAAATTACCGTATCCATGAATGCATGTTCTAACAAATCGAATGAAATTCAATAAAAACAAATGAGAACGATTTATCGAGAGAAAATACAGTTCAGTTTATTTGAGAGTTCATCTCTTAAGATCTATTAAAATAAATATAAAATTGGTAAATTTATTTAAATCTCAAAGGTCTTTGATAAACTATAGCAGACTCTGGTATTTGGATTAGGTTCTACGTGGACAATTAGATTAAAGTGGTATAAAGCTTCGGCAATTATATCCAAAAGTGCTAAAAATTCGTAAATTTCCGTGCCATTCAAAACTGTAGCTTTCTTTCTATCTAAAATAATTCACATCACTTTTCATGTTTTTTTCTTTCTTCTGGCAATATCATTATAATGCACTAATTTTGACATATTTTTTTTCATTAAGTTAAATTTGAAATATATAGGTATATTTTTTTTAAATTTTGATCACTTTTCTAATTGTCAGACAAATTGCACATCTGAACACAAACATCGTTCGAGCATTTTATTAAGTAACAAAGTTCAATTCCCGCTCCAGTTAACTTGCATATCCATTTTATTTGCGAAATTCAACGGCCCGTTTTATCTCTGTTGCATTCAGTTCACGGCACCGATCAACTGATCGCCAAATCTGTAAATTGACAAAAAAGGACGAATTAAAACAATGACAACAAAAAAATACAATTATCATACCTTAATGGTGTAATCATCACTGGTCGTAACTAACATTTCCGAATCACGTGGGTTAAAGGCAACACTGTTCACTACGTCTGTATGCTGGTACTTGGCCAAACAAATTCCATAATATCGATCCCAAATGTATGCATGCATGTCTTCAGCACCGCTGTAAATCGAAATTGGAGCAAATCGAAGTTAATTCACCAAATTGATTATGAAAAATTTAGCTAAACCAAGTGCTATTAACAGCAGTGTTACCTGGCAACATAATTATCACAAACATCCAAGAATATGAAAAAGCATTCTGTGTTTGGTGTGTATGCTTTGTGTGAACGTAGCATATTTCCAACTTTCTTCAACGTAGCTAAGTCAATGACATGAATATCAATCTCTTGAGCAATTGGCGGCGGTTCCAGTGGATTTGAAATGATATAATCCTTTGGCCATGGTCTGCTGTTCACATATAGGTACCGTTGATCAGGGCTCAACCCCATGCCAATGATGTGGCCATGCAAATCGATCAATTTGTCTACTTTATCAAATCGATTTGCCACTGAATCGTAATCTAGCCAATCTGGGTCAACACGCTCGTTGTTCTGAAAAAAAAGAGAAAATTTATCTTCTCTCTTCAATATTCGGCCACAATTCAATTTATAATACCTGCAGGGCTTTCTCTCTTTCTTTGGCCGCAAGTCGTTCTTTGAGTGACGGCCCTGGTTCAAGTTTCTTTGAAGCAAATCGAAATTGAAGTTAATTCACAAAATTGATTATGAAAAATGTAGCTAAATGAAGTTAATTCACCTTTGGAAAATTAACGTTTCGTATACGCTTAAAGCCAATTTGGTGAGGTGTATATGTTTTTGAGCCAGTTGAAAAGATTAAGTACTTTGGGCAAAGATTCTCAAGGTCATCATCCTCAAAATCATCTTCCATTTCTTCGTCCATTGCTGTGATTTAAAAAAAAATACACCAAAATAATTTTGAAGAAAAGAGATGCAGATACATACTTTGGCTATCATCATCAAAATCACTATCTTCGAATGAGTTATCAATGTCACAATGATTGTCTTCGAACTCCTCTCGAAAGGAGTCCAAATAATGAATTGATCGTGAATTGTCAATGCCGCGATTCTGTTGAAACTGAATACTATCAACTGTAGCAGAGGTAGCTCCAGCAGTTGTAGGAATCTGTATCAGTTTTGGTTGTGACAATGGATTACCAGCCCGTTTAACATCATCCGACGACGTTGATGGTTCATTATTTGATTCTTTCGATGTCATTTGTGTGTCATCGATTTGATCGTCTTCCAACCACGGACAGTTCGCTATCATTATTCCCCGAATTGAGCTGGCATTTCGATTATAGAATTTATAGAGTTGATTCATGATCGGAACCTATATATTAAAAACATTTAACCAAACAAAAATTAAACATTTTTAGTGTTTGGGTCAAATTCAAAGAAAAAGTCTCCCATAAATATCACTAAGGTTGCCAACAAATTTGAAAGTTCATAAAACGGGAATATTTACATGTTCTGAATCGACTTCTTGATTTGCTTTATTCAACCATAGCACCGATGTGCTAACCAAATGTGCCAACCAGTGTAGATCGCCCGAAATCAAATGCTGGTCACTGAACCAAGTGCCAAAGATGTCGTATGGTCGATTCACAACACGGCATCGTAAATGTGAATCGCCTGTTACACTGAACACAGCTATTTCACCGGATGTTGAGTGTGGCGACCCAAAATGTACACCAGACACCAACAACAATGTATCACTTTGATTAAATTGAGAGTATTGAGTATATTTCCAACTAAATTTTCTCATGTCATGCGAGTATTTGATTGTTGCAGGATACGATGAATTCCATATCTGTTGTAACAATAAAAAAAAAAAACAGTTTATCACATTTGATTCAATTCTATACAATGCAATATTTACATGAACGAAACCATCTTTTGAACAAGTTGCAAACATGCGGCCGTTGTGAGAGAAGCTGACATGCAAAACTTGGTGAGCATGAGCAAATTGCAGATCATCGGTTAGCACCATCGGTATGTTATAAGTCAAGCGTTTGTATTCCTTGTACCACGATTCAGCGCCTACAAATCAAAACATAATCACGAAAATGTTCAATAAAAATGAGATAATCAATTTAAGTTAATAAAAAAAAAATGACATCAATCAGCATTGTGCATTCATCGTGTCGCCCACACAATTCGCATTCGATTAGTACCATGTAATTTTGCTGTTTATTGTCGTGATATGGACATTAAATCCCCTTAAGCAGTAATTGTACAATTTGTATATTGTACTCATTGAGACTGCATTCTTATAATAATCGGGTTAAATAGCATTGAAACACATATATTGTTATAAATGGAAAATGCCCACAACGTACCACCAAAGAAAGAGAGCCAGGAAATGAAAAATGCATATTCGATTCTATTTGTAACCCATTTATACGATTACGCACTTGTGTTTCTTCGTGCCTATTTTTCATTTTCGATTTTGTCATCTACTTTTCTCTATTTTTCTTGTTATTATTTTCATTTTATTTCTCTCTGTGTCCTCAATGCAATTTGATTCGAATTGGTCGAACTAATTGAATTTATCAAATCGAATGAGAATAATTCGGTTTTTTAAATTAATTTGCTTAAATTGTAATGAATTAACTGCAGTCTCATGCAAATGCATTGTATGCAAAATAATTCAGTGGTTGAATTCGGTGTAGTCGTTTAGTATATGTGTGTGTTTTCTCAGTTCAATAAATGGCATGAACAATTGAACAGTCAGCACATTTTACTGGAAATCCAATCCAATTATATATTTAAGTTTAAAGAAAATTTAGCTGATTGCTGCAAATCATCGATGTAATAAGCAAATCATATATAGATAGACAGTGGAATACTGGATGAATTGGGTCAAATCTATATTTGAAAAGGAAATGCAATGACATGATTTTTCTGCGTACACTTAAATGCACACTGCACATAAAAAAGCGTTTCACATACGAAACGATTTGACATTTTTTTTGTCCTTGTAGTTTTCGTACTTTACATAATGTACTTTGAATGTTTGCACTTTTGATTGTTCTGAACGGAACAGAATTTCATATCGTTTGTATAAAATCAATAGAAACGTTTAAGTAGATTTTTATGTTTTTTTTTTCTTCTTCTATCATTTATTTGTTTATTACCTGGTTTTAAAGCAATCGACTTATCGACTTTAAAATCGCGTTGAAACACCTTCTTCCATAGATAATCATCTTTGCTGATATCATTCCATCGTCGACAACATTCACTTACATTTAAAATATCACGAACAGGTAATTGGGTTAGAATTTTCAATAAAATTGGGTCGGGGATGAAATCCCATTCGGTTGCGTTCCACACATAGTTCACGTCATTTGTTTCAATCGATTTCACTGGATCCGTCGACATTTCGTTTTCACTTCAATTTTTCACACACGATTCAACAAATAATCACAATTATGGACTAAGTCACTTTTCATTCGTTTAAATTGTGATGGAGAAATTTTGTATTTTTATTGCAACATCCCGAACGAACATTAAAACACACCAATTAAATACACAAAATTGTTGTTTTGGCATCCACACGCTCTTCGTTAACGAAAACAAATTTTTTTTTTTTGAATATTCTCACATACACCGTGTGTTTCTCTCTCTTTTTACCTTTTCTTTTTATTGTTGTTGTTGCGCTTTTTTTCTCTGTCACAATCAAAAATTCACTTTTTGCGCATTCAATTCTTGTTCTCGTTTTGATATTATTAATCACACCATCGAGATAAATTCAATCACATACGAAGTGAACAAACAAAAACAATGCGTTCTTCAACACATAAAAAATTGGTTTCAAGTTACAATCAATTAACTATGTTGTTCGTATGAGCAAATGAAATAATGTGACCTCACAAATTTCAATCTGCTTATATCGATCGTAGTACACACTGACGAAGTGACGAAATTATATGAATGATTCGTCAATTTTTTTCAAGTTTAGTACACTTTAATTGAGTTGCTGTATCAGAAACTATTGCATCACAATTTATTTTTCGAGTTTCTAAAAAATGTCTGTTATTGTACGCACTTGCTTATTCTTTGGTTTCAAAATCAAAAATAGATATATAAATATATTCTATATTTTTTACAAATTGGCAAACGAAAACAAAATAAAAAAAAATTGTGTCTCGATGTGTTGTGTGTGGTGATCGTTTTCTTTTTGGATTATGACAGTTATATGCTGTAGACGATTACATTTTTTCCACAAATTTATCTATTTCAGTCATTATATACACAATGCAGTTTCACCATTCGTAGTAGCACAAATACGAACATATATCATATAGCATTATAGAAGCATGGTTGTTTTTGTCAGACGCGCAACTCAATCCATTTCTCTCGCTTAAGCATTCATCTTGGTATTGGAATCTCACAATGATTTCGCTCTCTTTTGCCATATCGCTATATTTACATTCTCGAATATGAGAAACGTCAACACTGACATACAGCATGACCATTTGTTTACTATTTCTGGTATGGTACACTGTCTTTATCGCACCGTCGCAGTAGCACAGCAGCATGACGAGCACAACAATATCATTAGCTTTATTTCAGCAAAACATTTGTTTTGCGCTCACTTCATCCATACGATACAAACACTTCATCCAAATGCGACGTACTAAATATATACACACATGTAGCCTCGTCTTGCCTTTTCTCGCTACAAACTTGATGGCGTTGGTGGGAAAGGGTACAATAGACGTTCAATGTTTTCATTGCATTTCTTTTGATCAGCTGAGTGTGAAATGTTGTTCACCTGAAGAACGTCAAGTTTATGCATTGATTGATTTACAGTCAATACTAATAAAGTCGATCTCGAACTAGTTTTTGCGGTTTTTTGAAAATAGAAATTAATAATTCCCTTTGGAATTTTTAATTTTGATATTTTTTTTGTTTTTTACCCTGCAAATTTTTGACTATAGCGAATTTTACGAAGTTTAATTATCGCCAGAAAAAAATTCCTTTTGAAAATGGTATTCAAATGCCTCTTTATGCATATAATATGTCTTAATTAGTAATGGCAACAATACTGAAGTCGAATGAATAATATTTTTTAATTGAACACAACGAAACATCTCTATACCCCATTCTAAGCAAATTATTCTTCTTCATTTTTACGCTGTATCATAATTTATGCAAAAGTCGGTCGTCGAAATTCTCGAAATTTTCGTTGAAAACAACAGAAACAAAAAACACTATAATAATAAAATGATGCAATAATTAAAAAAAAAAAACGAAATAAAGACACGAAAGAAAATTGCATATTTCACATGTATTACAAACCACTGTTCAGAGCTTAAGGGTCAACGTCTCTTTCTCTCTGTCGGAGTACTGAACGCATAAGATAACCGCTACTAAATAAACCGTGGATAATTTGCATACAATATTCAAGCTTAAGCAGCATATGGTTTTAAGTTGTAGATATATATATAATCATGCATAATGATGTATATATTTAAAAATGAAAAATAAAATATTGCTTGCATCGGGTGTCTAATGAAATGCTTAATATGAAAAATGAATAAAACGGCATTTTATTGTTGTTATTTCATAGCGCTTCTCTTCGCCGATGAAGATTGTTTTCGAACAAAGTAATTTGTTGCATGATTTTCACACCATTTTAAGTATCATGATAAGACAATACCAATCCATTGTGCCATACGAGAGATAGAGAGAACAAAAAAAAACACGTAAAATTCAGCGTCAATGCATTACTCACACGAGCTCATGTATAAATAAACAACGTTAAAATGATTGGCATCGGCTCAAAGTCGGTGTTTGCCGTTGTTTTTGTAATGATACACACACATAAATAGTTGGCATCATGCAATGATAATTTCTTCGATGCTTATACATGTGTGGGTGAATGCTTATAGTATTGTTACGTTTGTGATTTCTCCATGAGACTCGTTCAGAACGCGTGTTTGAATGAGAACGAATCGGATCTGTTTGGTTGTGTTATGAACGAAGAGATTCAAAGAGAGTATATCTTGTCTGAGCACAACAAACACTGTCCGCGTCAGTATACAATCAAACGTTCAAGTTGACGGTATTTATCTCTAACTAAATATATTTAGCGAAAGTTTTTCTTTTTCTCACATCAACATAGCAGTGAAGATGTAAGTTACATTGATAAATTAAAAAAATCATTCAATTCACTTATTGATTTTGATTACGACGTCGTTCAAGCTAAGAAAATTTATTGATCAAAAACTCGATCTTGCTTGCATTTTAACACAATAGATTCACCTACGCAAGCATAAAAATGACGAATATAAATCAACATTTTTCAGTAACAATCAATTCAAACCGATGAAAAAAAAATGAAACAATTAAAGTTGTCGAACAAGAATTGCAATGGTGTTCGTGATTACAATACGAAAGTCACATATAGTATTAGTGCCAAACGCAAAGTGAAACACATAAAGTGAATTGCATATCAAATGCTTCAATTTCTAATTGCATTAAGTCACAAATCCGTTGCGAACTGTATGCGCTGCGCGTCAGTCAGTGGCACTGACTCACTACTTAAGTGGAACGCATAATTTCTATTTTCTGTCGCATGAAAACACATTCCTGTACGTATGACATGGATGAAACAGATGTTTTTATAAGAAATAATTCAAAATTTTCTGTCTCTAGTAGAATAACCATCAGAAGCACAAATTAAATGATCATATAGTAACATAAATGGGCACGGTGCAAAAGTCAAGGGGGGTCCCAAAAATCCTAGCAAATCGAAAGAATTTTTCCACTCAAAACATTTCAGATGGAAAAATTCTGACGATTTGAAGGAATTACCGTCTGCAGAGAGCCAAAAAAGGCCTTATTCATGAAAACCTCTGTGAAATCGGAAGACTTCCCATATCACAATACTGCCTCCAAGAAAATAATTACCTAAAAAAATTCGCTTGAACGATTTAAGGGGGGTTATTCGGCCTTACACTCCCCCCGTACCTATGAATATCCATATGGAACGTTTTAAATTGACTGAAACTAGGCAACATTGATGGCTTTGTGGAATCATTTGCGTATTGAGTCTAAAAACAACAGTCTATCCGCATTAAAATCGCAAGTAGATTTTTTTCAACTGAATTACTCTTGCATTTCTCGATAAATAACGACTGTGTACAAAACATAAGCCATAAGCAAAACGATAAAACATAAGTAACACGAGTAATCTGTCTTAAAAGATTTCTCGTCACCGTTTGGAGTAAATATTTAGAAAAAATGAAGAAAAAAAAACCAAAGAAAATATTTTTATAAACAAAGATGTTTTTCAATTTCTGAAAAAATATTACATAGCATATTTTTATTCCCACCTTAGAGTACTTGCCTTGCGAGATGAATTTTTCGATTAGTTTCTTCTCTACATATTGATGATTTGCATGAATACTTTGTTAGAAATTTTGATGACTAATTGCAAACTGTAAACCGTAATTAAATTTGTTGACAGCTATTTCTTTGAACTATATTACTTAAGAATTCTTGGTACGCATGAATTTGAATTGAAAAATGTACAAGTGAATTTCGAGGCTAAGAATCGAAACAATTCACTTGTTTACTCAAAAAAATCGTTGTTATCAAACAAAGTGTCGCTTGTTATTTTTTGCTATGATATGAAACCAAATGGCATCATGAGATGATAATTGTGCCGATGTGTGTATGTGGTTGAATGCTTTTGGCGTCCGTTTGTTGATTACTTTGCGAGACACATTCAGAACGTGAGCTAGCAGAACGAATCCAATCTGTGTAGTTGTGTTACGGACGATGAGATTCAGAGAGTATATCTCTGTTGTGCATACCTCAAAAGTGTTGCGTGATTCAGTATACAACAAAGCGTTGGAGCCGACAGTTTCAATCTCTAAAGAGGTGTACCTATTGGTGTAATAAATCAAACGAAATTTCTTTCAAAAATCAACATCACGGTAACGAAGTAAGTTTCAAATTTTGATTTGAATTCAGTCGTACACAAAAAAAAAGCTTTTTTTTCGGTCGTTTGTTAATTTCGGTGGAAAATTTGCTGATCAATAAATCGATCTTGTTCGCATTCTGAACACAATTGGTTTCGCTTAGGCGAGCACAAAATGAAATGTGCACAAAAAAGACATAAAAATACAAAACAAAAATCAAATTGCAGCAATTTTAATAACAACAAACGTTTAGAACAATTAAAACCGAAAAAAAAACAAGAACAACAATATGTAACATTTATCGAACAGGAATTGTAGTTTGTGATTTGCATATGAAAGTTGAATTTTATACGGGAACTCAAATTGGAACACAGGCATTGAATTTAGTATTCATAAAATGCTTAATTTTTTAAACGCAATAAATCACAAAACGCCAACCATATGCACGCGCATGTGCATTGTGCACACTCATTTATTGGGATCATTTTTATTTTCTGTCGCATATGTAAACAAAGTCTTTTTTAATTCTTCAATGACATGAACGAAACCGATATGATTTATTACTAGATTATAATCACCTGATAAACAAAAATTGAAAATCCGGCCAACAAATTGAATGTTTTGAATGAATAAAAATAAGCACAATTGTTGATTATGTGGAATCATTGCGAAAATATGTTTATCAGTGTCCGCTATTGGGTCAGAAAGTAACAATCTATATTTAAACTAAAGTCAAAGTACAATTTTCATACTTGGTACTTTTGCTATTGTTGATAACAACATATACAAAAAAATAACATAGAAATAGCCTGGAAAGTATAGCTTCTGTCATTGACCGTTTACAGAGAAAAAAAATTGTTTAAAAACATTGAGATCTCAAAGTAAAACTCATTTCTAAACATTACTAGAAAAACATAATGTTGATGCCACGTAAAATGTGACCTATGCATTTTTAGAAAAGAGCCATCTAATTGCAAAACATATTCATAACAATTACAAGACTTTCATATTTCACCAAGGTGAAATTAAAAACAGTTATTTGTTATTGGAGCTTTGACATTCGAAACTCGATAGCAATTATCACACGGGCTCATATCAATTAAACGACGGAACACAATACATTTAATTTTACGAGTCACGATCGGAAGCTAAACGTTTAAAATTGCAAAATAATAAATTATAAAATACATGTCTATTATGTATCCGATATAATTGCAGCTTCCAATAAAAAACACGATCTAGGTGTCTATAGACGCACAGTTTATTTACGGAAAGGTTTTGCAGTTTTCTACAAGTTAGAACCTATCTTCCTTATTAAAGAACCTTCCGTTTTTATTTAAAACCACATATTTAAATCGAAAATCTTAAAACGTAAGAGAAAACTTTTCCGCTGTCAAATAGAAGGCAGAGCTATTATTGGTCGCGGAAAAGTGCGAACACTAGTGAATACAAGAAAAAATTATTGTGTAATTCTACTGAATTACAAAAATGAGTCAGAAGAACCCCTTTATTCAGTGTAATTCAAATGATTAATAATGAACGCGTGAGTAAATTTCGCAATCCATATCGTGCAAATTATGAAGCTAGAAAATGACGGCACAATGATTTTCTCAATTATGAATAGAAGAATCGATAAGTGCTTCGCGATTAGCTTAGATCTGCATTGGGTGTATCACTGAAATCACACATTATTAAATTAAGAAAATGAATATTCCAATAAAACATACAAATAAGAATAATAATCATAATCGTTATTGATAATATTGCAATTGTTCTACGAGAATGATTAAGCAAATGATCGAAAGCTCCAAAAGTCAATCAAAAATAGCTATAAATATATTCGATTCTTTTTTTAAAAGTCGTTAAATAGGATGAATTGAAACGAGATTAAAATGACCGATTTCAAAATGAATTATATGCATTTTCTACATTTCAATTCGCTACGTGTGTAATTGATTCAATAAATCAGTTGATTTGTTTTTGTTTTTTTTTTCTATTTTTTCTAAATCATTAACCATGTCGAATTAGATGTAAATATTCATTTTCTGGTTTTGATTGCGCCACTCTCATCGATCTACGCGATTCGCGTCACATCAAAACACGTTTGAATGCGTTGCATGCGATTGTGAGATTGAAGTTTGATTTTAAATTGCTAAACTGTTGCAATAAAATTGCGGTAAACCGATCCGTGATATTGACATCGAAATATTATTTCAACAATAACTATATGGCAAATAATTGAAAATGACTGGTTTTTATGAGCATTAAAATCGATTTGACATTATTTTGGCATTTTCGGTTGGCTATTGCGATTCTGACCCGATTATTTTTTGGATTCTGAATATTTGAAGGTTTTCATAAAATTGTGCCTCTCTTAGATGTTCCATTAGATATGTTGTTTGTTTTGCATCTAGATTTTTGTGCGCTATTTTTCTTTTCTCTTGTAATTAATGATGCAATTTCAATGGGAAACATTTTACCGGTTTACTAATTTTTATTGTAAATGATTGGCAATTAGTTGTTATTGATACGAAATGATCGTCTTGTTTCGTGCGCAACTAGAACAGTAAAATAGAAAAAATATTCTACATTTTTAGATGAAAGTCCTCTAAATGCTGACTGATTACAGAACAATTAAAACAGCGAAGAGCGCTTGAGTTCAAACACTCTGAGAACTTCTTTTTTTTGCATCTACAAATCGGGTTTAAATTTGAGTGTATTTATTTCACTTCTAATTAGCATATAATTATAAGAAATATAGAGGTAGAACAACGCCTTACAGATAAATCTCATTGCGTACAACCAGCCGTAATTAATAATACCTGACTGAGCAAAATATGAAATATATTCTGTCATGAATTGTACGATGTTTATCGATTCAAATCTTTTCTTCACATTTTTTTTCTATTTTAACGCTTGAACAATCGAATCGAGAATAAATTTCACAACGTCACAATGATCGAATGTTGAAAATGATCATTCTATTCATGATGATTAAAAGCGAAATCTGTACTAAATCTCACAATTCATTCTCTCTGACGCTATCGATTAAAAACGCAAACGTAAAAAGTGTCAAGGATAACACGGAGTATGGTGTTCAATATGCACACGCATTTCTAATAAACACAACTTATTGATAATTTTTTTTTTAATGGCATGAATTGAAGTGGAAATTTTTCAAACTCCTTAGAATGGAATCTAATAGCGATTTATATACAGCGTATATTCTATCGGCGATTTTAATTGTTGCACTAGTTTAAGTTCTAAAACATATTGTTGAATGATAGTGCGGTCATGGAAACTATGTTGCAGCCGAGTGGAGAAGAAAAAAATTACACGAAACCGGTCGCTCTGATTCAATTGTTCAGTTTTGATTTGGAATGGGAACTTCGGATTTTGGATGAATGTATTTTGAATTTGAAGATCAATTTTAAGTGTTCGACGGGTCCGAACGATTGGGATGTCATTATATTTTTGATGATTAAAATCATAAGATTGACGCCATTTTTTTTTTCAAATTCAAAGCCAATTTTTGGGTGTTCCAACTCATCTAAAACTTTACTTTCCACTCGGTAATTTCAATGTGAATCACGCCAGATCAAAATGCCCATAACCAAAAATGTTAACAGAAACTCGCTTGAACTCAATGAATTTGGGATGACATGTTTTTTTCTTCTCTATTTTACTCAAATGCATTGAGCATATTAATTACAAATATGGTCACATACGTAATACAACGAACGTTAATAGTTACCACGTGCGTCGTATAGAGTGTAATTGTTAATAGAACTCATTCAAGCATACGCAAATGTTATATAAACGGTCAAGGTCATTGCAAATGAAATTTGTCATTTGTGTGTGTATCTGTCTGTCGAAAAGTAAAATAGATGTGTAGTTGGTATACGAAATATATGTAACTTAAATAGCATACATATCGGCGAACATGGTTGTCACGGAACTATGTACAATGTGTTTATCATCGCATCGGATAAATGGATTGAACTTCGTTCCATAATTACGCGGGTTTGTTTGATTCTGCGGGCGATTAACTTGAAAGACTCCGGCACGTAATATAATACTTAATATCTCTTCATAGAAGCCGATTTTTCGTTTTTACCTAATCTCTTTTCATTTCAATGTTATTGTTTGTTATGTTGCTTGTACAAACAAAAAACCACACAAATCAACCAATACAATACACGCGGGGTACAATATTGACCAAATCACCTATCGAAAATCGTAAAAAAATGTATTGAATCGTTTGTCTTTCTGTTCCAACGCTTTGTTCGAAACGCAAATACTTCGAGTGTCTGCTGGTGTCAATGATTTGATTTTTTTACCCTTCATCAAGCATTCCAATATTTACATTTTTTATGTTTAATTTTTGCGACACCTGTAAATGTATTTATACTTATTTCTTTTCGATAAAACACCCATACATTCGCCGATTAAATTCTGAATTGAATGTAAATTGAATGTCAATGTCGTTGATTTGAAAAAATAATAATGATCTCAAAGCTCATAAAAATTCCACAGATTCCATTGTATGCTAAGTAACCCATGTTTTTTTGTACAATATGTGCAGTCATTTTTTAAAAATAGCACGCAAAACAGCATACTTGATAATTTGTAAAAACAACCATAAATCTTTTTTTTTTGCATTTTACGACTTTTCTCTTTTCAAGTAAATGAACGTGTAACTTTAATGGAGATTCGGCGCGAAATAAAAAAAAATCACAATAAATATCAGTGACCGGTTCGCGCATATTTCTATGCTTGCCTAAATACGCTAGGTAGCATAGATATGCCAAGCATAGCCGCAAACGCAACCGACGCATCGCCGTTCACTCTATATGAACAATACACATGTTCGATTATGCAGACGACCGTGCGCATACAATATAGCTCGAATCGAATGGTGACGGGTGCGTTGCGGCTTGCGTCTTCGCTATGCTTAGCATAGCTATCAGGCATAGAAATATGCGCGAACCGGTCACTGAAAAATATTTGCTGAATCATAAACTTCTCTATAATTGACGCGACAGAACAAAATTGATTTGCTCTGAAAACTTGGACAAGGGACCGAATGAATTTCATTCATCATTTTGTACAAATCACGTATTGGACTTCACATATTTTGAATATCAACTTCACAACTTACACATTTTTCTCATTTTTGTGGACCGGAAATGAAATTGTATATTCGCAAAATCAGTGTTCAATGTGCTGTAAATAATTAGTCATTCTTCTGTTATTCAATATCACATACAAAATTGAAGGAGAGAGTACAATAATGCAGATATTTTAATTTTTTTACATTCTCAGACTTCATTTTCATGGATTTTTTGGAAGAACAAATGACTTAATCAATATTGTAAATTACACGCAGTGATATAACATTTCTGTGTTAATTTTTTTTATTTGATGATTTTTTTCTTATTTTCTTTATTTATTAATTTTTTTCGGAGGAAAACGAAGACGTAACGCTTTACTAATTTCTTAAATCATCAAGTGTCATTTTAGAAACAAATAAACCTTCACGATTTACTAAGAATCGTCAATCTGTTTACTACTGTTGAATTTGATTCATCGGATTTTCGGCTTTTTTCTTTCATAACAATTAAAATCGATTGTATGAGTCATTTTTATTTATTTGAAAGATATGTGAAAATACGTCAAAATCATATAGTAGAATGAACCGGTTTCTTTGTTATTTAAACGCTTTTTGAAAAATATAGACGCCGGTTCCGTTAACGAAGTTCAGCGTATTCGTTTCTTGTTTCAAGTTCTAAATCAATCTATTATTCCGTCATTAGCAGAAAGAATTGAATGCAATCTTCAACTTTTCAAGATCAATTTTTTTGTTGTTAAAATTCTTTAACTTTATTATCTTTTTGAATGTGATATTGTCTTAGGTCGTAACAGATGTTTTTATTTTCGGTCGAAATCAAGTTATCAATAATTCTTAATCTCAGACCTTCTAAATTGAATATTCATTTGTTTGTTTCAGATACAATAAAAATGCCCGTTAAAGTTTCGCATAACATTGATCTTGGACCTGACCTTCCCAATGAAGTAATGGACATTGCTCGAGAGCAGGGTGAAGATCCTGAACGTGTTTGCGCCGACATTCAGGATCTGAGAGACATGATTTTTGGTAAAAACAAAACACTTTCTTACTTTTTTGTATTTGTTTTGCATTCGATCATTAAATCGTTTTGTTTTTTTTTAATTCAATAACCATTTTATCAATGTCGCATATACTACATACAAATACACAAAAGAAAGAGGACTTTGTGTACCACCTCGCACCGATGACGAGTATCTCATTCGGTTCCTGCGTGCTCGATTTTTCAAACTGGAAGCGGCATATAATTTGGTTTGTATCATTTTTATTTTTAATAACAAATTAATTATTATTCTCATTAAGTGGGACCATTTCCGAAACATATAAAAAGATATTAATCAATAACTGGTTTGATATTTTAGTTGTGTCGATATTGTGAATTTCGTGAATCGAATCCCGAGCTTCATGTTGATGTCCATCCTTTTATGCTTACTAAACTTGGCGAAGATGATATTGTGTCCGTGACCCCATATAGAGATCAAAACGGTTCGGTCAAACTAATCGAATCCATTCTTATTTCAGCTTAACTAATTTCGATTTCGATTTATTTTATTTTCAGGCCGAAGAATAATGATTTATAAGTTTGGCAATTGGCGACCATCAAAGATTGCTGTCGATGATATCTTCCGAGCTTCATTGATTCTACTTGAAATGGGCGCATTAGAGCCACAGTCACAGGTTTTGGGTGGTGTTGGCATTTTTGATCTCGAAGGTTTGGCTCTACAACATATTTGGAACCTAACACCGTCGGTGGCAAAGAAAATTATCAGTTTAATGGTGGTATGTGGAATATTTTTCGAATTTTTGTTGTGTTTTTTTAAAACTCTGCATTTTAAAAATGAATATATGAAATCATTCTTTTAATCATCATTTTCAGACATGTATGCCACTGCGTACGACTGCAATTCATATTGTTAATAATAATTGGGCCTTTGATATGGCTTGGCAAGTGTTTAAACCGTTTTTAAGCGATCGAATGCGCAAGCAAATTTTCATTCACGGATCGGATATGGAATTATTACATCAACATATTGACAAAACACATTTACCAATGAAATACGGCGGCGAAATGCCCGAATTTCCCTACACCGCTTGGATGGAAAATCTCGCAAAAAATGAAAAAGTAATGGATGAATTGAAGCGGCTCGGTTATGAATTTGGACCAGATGAGCTCAGTGCCTTTATCTAAAATTTAGATTCTAAATGTCCCAACGATATAATCAAAATTGTGAAGTTTTTTTGAATGTACAAAAAACAGTTTATACTCGGAAGAAAATAATATTTTAATCAATTGTGATATAAGTGATTCTTTTATAAAGAAAAAAGGAAACAAAAAGAAACAATTTTTAGGAAATTTTTTGGCATACTAATAAAACGACTTTTTACAAGAAAAATAATTATTTCAATAAAAATGTAATGTCTCATTTAGAACAAATAAACAGATTTTGAACTATATGTCTTGCCCTTTAGTATTCGGAATATGCAAAGTCATCATCATTAAATGAACAAATTCATTGCAAGCAACTACACACAAAAAAAACAAACTATGGATTTTATAAGATATTCGTGTAAACTTAAGAACTTACACGCCCAATCGTACGATTTTTTTTAATATATATTTCGTGTAAATTATAAAGTGAATTAATATTTTTAAACGAAAAATAGAGAAATTACACGATTTGCCGTAAAATCCTAAAATATTGATTCACTTTAAAATTAACACGATATATACATAAAGAAATTGCACGATTTGTCGTATAAATCCTAAGCTTGCACGACCTATAGTATCTAATAAAATCCATAGTTGATTTTTTTCGGTGTGCACCATTATAAATGAACAAATTCATTATAAGCAACCACAATAAGTCTAGAGTTTGTAGACCGGTTTATCCAGGTAAAATTGACCGAGGAATTTACGAGAGTGTATGGTTCAAAAGAGACAAGTTTGAACACTTGTAAAAACTGGGCTCTAATTAAAAATCAAAGTCAGTATAATTACGTTGCTTTATTAAAAAAATGCTATTGTTAAGACTTGCCGCACTCTGTGTTCATACTTTATAAAGCAGTTGGTGTTTCGGCAGTTACAGATTGATACGTGTTGTGTGGTCAGCTGATACAAAACGAACAAAAAATAATTTTGCACACAACATTTTTAACCACTTTCTAAAAGGTAAGCAATTTAGCAACAAAAAAAAACATGCCCGAATGCAGAATTTTCCATTTGTTCCCATCGAAAAATTCACCAAAGTCACGGAAATTTAATAAGTTCATTGCATTTTTTCTTACAGAGTTTTTTTTCCCGGTCAATCGATTCAATTTCGATGCGTAATTGTAAAATCAGTTTTAAAAAATTCAGCAAGTGCATTGGCCCAAACGTTTAGTCAGTGCTGAAACTTTCGACGACGAATATGTGCATAGTGTTTTGAGTTGCATTTATTCAGTTTGACTAATTGAAATCTTTGAAAATAGATGCACATATTAAGGGAAGAATAAAATCAAAAAAGTGAAAACAAAATAACAGCTTAAATCACAGCTATTTAGAATTTCCAGCGAAAGAAAGTGATAAAGTAGTTCAAAAAAGTTTAGAAATTTTTAAAAAAATGTATGAATTTCCGGAATTGGAAGAGCCACGACCATTCACAGTGGCAGAACAACAGGCCATCGACGATTTGAAATTAATGTTCAAAGAAAATGCTGAGATCAATTTCCAAACGGATAACTATTTTCTTACGAAATTCTTAAGGTACTGTGACTGGAATATTGAGGCGGCTTACAAATCAATTGTGAATTATTATGAATTGAAGGTAAACAATATGTGTCATAAATTGTATAGGTGTTTATGTAGCAATGAAAAGTGAAATTTCGATGTTGACGTTCATTTCACTTTTTTTTCGTAGCGTGACAATCCATTGGTGCATGCCGACAAAAATATATCAGAGTATATCGATTTGTTGAATTTGAATGCGCGTGTCGTACTTGATAAACGTGATAAACATGGCAGAATCGTATTCGTCTCAAAATTAGGTATATTTACATATTATCTATTGCATGATGGTCACTTCGAATTTACGTTTGTGTTGAATTATTTGTAGGTAATGTTGGACCAAATATCAATTTCAATGATGCTTCGGTAGTTGATGATGCATGGATGCATCTACTTTTAAGCGATCCACTAACACAAATCAATGGTTTTTGCTGCATAACTGATTGCAAGGGACTTAATCCAGCACTTTTGAAATGGCTTATTCCGAAAAATTGCAAAGTTGGCGCCGCCAAACTTGAAAGTCTACCGATAAAAGATTGGACCATTCATATCGTTAATATGAACACATTGTTTAAGGCAGCAGTTTATGTTGTCAAACCATTTTTGCGGAAATCAACCATTGCGAAGGTAATACTTTTTTGATCATCAATTTCCGCCAAAATCAAAATGAAATAAACCCAAAAAATCTGACATTTCAGTTCAAATTCCATACCAATGGTTACGCTGATTTAATTGATGAACTGGGAGAAGATTGCGTACCTGCTGAATACGGTGGAAAAAATGGCCCAATCGACTATGATAAATCGTTGAAGTTTATTTTATCACGTGAAAAAATTCTTGCTCGCAACCGACAATTCGGCTTTAAAAAACAATGAACGAATTTATTTAATTTTTACATTCTATTTGTATTGATCTATTTTCTACTGCACACTTTTGGATAATCTATCTAACAGTTTTTCGATTTGAAGTTTTATTTTTAAATAAATAAAATAATAGCATTCCCAATCATTTAAACGTTGCTCGATTTATTTGAGATTTTAGAACAATCCACAGCTTTTCCGGGCGACATCTATCGAAAATAAACGTAATTTACTTTTGAAAACCGCATTATTTACCACCCACATTTTATGCATACTTGGAAATATATTGCGTGAAAACTGTCTCGACAGATTGGTTAGTAGAGAGTGTAAATAGAGAAATTTCTTTCATTTTTATCCTAATGAATTTTCATAAACAGCACCTAACGAATAATCACGCAGATGACATTTATTTCGTTGTTTGTGTAAATAAAAAAATAAATGTTATTGCCAAACTGGATTCTGTCGGTTATTTTGGTAATAAACACCATATTGATTAGAGTCTTTGTGAAAATTGCAATTTTCGGATCGATATTGAAAACGTTTATCAGCCGCTTTATACGGTATGTAATTAGCGTTAATTGAAAAGAGGAGAATTTTATTTTTAAACACACAAACGCCGTAAAATAGATTACACAAAGTGATTGTTTATGTAGGTATGATATGATGTTTCATCCATTGGGTGTGTGAATGTATTGAAACACGTGTGCATTCAATAATACACGCCAATACAAACACAAAATTTTAGCTACACCCGCATATACTAGTGCGGTATATCGTTTAACGTACATTTTTTTTACCAGTTCATCAGTTTGTGAACGTGTGTCTTTAACTTCGCGCGTTTTTTATCACAGTCTTTTATTCGAAATAAAAAAATGCACTATCTTTGACGTAGAGAAAAATTGTTGTCTCATTTTTTATTGTTGTTGAATAAAACCATAATAAATCACGAGAAACATATAAAATTTCGATAAAATAAAAATCTATAAGGTAAGGAATGATTTTTTGTGAGCTATTGTAGCCGGTGTTTATGTGTCAAAATTTCAACCAAATGTAAATTAAACAAATGACATCAGTGTAAATAAAATTGTGGAATTGCATTTAGCCGAGATTTTTTTTCTCGATAAAGTGTGGAAAAATGTTTGCTAATTCGAATGGTTTTTGCTCAGTTTATAAATAGAATGATCATAGCCCAGTGACAATATCATTTGATTCGGTTTGATATGTGTTTATTTTGTTTCTCAACTTGCTGTTAGTAGTATTTCACATTGTTCTTGCCTACCGCATATTTTGATGTGATTTTTTTTGCCTAAGGCCTTGACACTGGTTTTTTTAATCGATTCTCTCTCCCTGTTCGTTGGTCAAAGGACAAAAAAGGCAAAACCAGTTTAAAAAACCAATATCTATGTGTAGGTGTCACCACATTGTTTACATTCTCTTGAAAATAGTCTAAAAGAGAGAAACAAAATAGAATAGAATTTTACTGATGTCGTCGTAATTTTCCGGTAGAATTTCATTTCGAATTATTTATTTTCAAAAATCAATGATTTGATTTGCTTACAAAATAAAAAGCAGACAATTAAAATGAGTGTTATGGTTTACAAGTCGAAAACACACGCCACTTCAGACCAATTTGTTTCAATCGATGTGTTTATGTGATTTACGATTCATTTTCAGCTTTTAATAATTAATGCACTTTTTGCATGACATCAACGTCACCGCCGCCGCTACTACGGCCATCATTCATGCCCATCACTGTGAATTGAATCGATACAGTTGGTATATATTATTAAGCTTCTTTGATTTCGATATATATTCTCTTGAATAATGAATGAAATCAATTTTCGAAGATGTGTACGGTGCGAGTATTCGGGCACATTACAGTTAAAGGCTGTAGCGTAATAGATATTTATCTATATTTCAATCAGTACAAACAAAATGATTAAGTACATTTTCCAGGAAATAAATGCCAAAACTGTGTTGAAATAGACTGTTCGTACTGGAGCGATAAAACCGTTATTTCGCTTTCATGGAAATCATTTCAGCGATAAAGAATGATAAGTGAACATATACCAAATTATTACCAACTTTTTTCATATTTGCAAAACATCGAATGACTCCTTCTTTTATTACGCTTTCGAAATGAATTTCACAGTTTTATTTCGCTCAGACGCTACATAAACGAAGCATTTTTTTTTTCGACGTATGTTATTCATTCGTTGATTTTCGTGATTTTCTCAGACAACCACTTTGCTATACAAAATGCTATCGTATATAGTTATTTAGTCAAGTGACTCTTTCGTGTGATGTGCCAAATGGCATTGAATTCCTTTTTGACGATGCTATATTATGTCAAAATTCAAGTATGATTAATATGGAAATATCCAAGCTGATTGTACGATATTTGTTTGTTTAATCATAATTTACGCACTCTATTATGGGAGGCATACCGCTAATGACAGTTTGCCAGTGATAACTGGGGTCACGACGAATTAGCCACCACTTTCAATAGATCTATTATTATAGATCAAACATTACACGTCATTATTTACAAACACGGCTCAGATCAAATTTCTTCAATTCCTATAGACGCTCCTTCTTCGGTTAGTTGTTCTTTTCATTGCATGCTTATATAAATTTGTATTGAAGATAGTGCGAATAGACTCTGGTCTTTCTGTTAGTTAGCGTCGTTTAACGGTCAACTTTTACTAACGGATATAAATAGAAAAGGCCACACATGTAATACACATTTTATTTTAATTGAGTAGTTGAAAAAGTATAATATATGCGTCAGTGTAATTGCTTGCGTTATTGTGTGAATAATAATAATTACACTGTGTTTATACTTTACATATATAAAGTTTATACATCACACATTTCACATTTTTATGGTTTTTATTTCGTTGACAGATACAAATACAAATGGAGATGGATGAAAACAATGGGAAAATAAACACAAGCATTCAGACCATAACAGACGATATAGACAGAGAAAATGAACTCAACTCAAAATTAGGTAAGATTTAACATTGATGAAGTGCATTAACTACATGAACTACATGTTTCAAGTTTTAATTTTTTTTTACTTTGAATGATTTATCAGACCGAACCTGGTTGGAAAAGGCAAAAATCGAGCTTGGCGAATGCGATGAAAGTCGAGCGACAAAACTGAGATTATTGGAAGAACGTGTGGTTCAAGACAATGACATACCAAATGCTAGACGTGATGATGCATTCTTACTTCGCTTTTTAAGAGCAAAAAAATTCGACGTCGACAAATCATTTCGAATGGTATTTGATTTTTTTGCATGAATTTCAATTCTACGACGTCATTCACCATTTCTTGCTCATTTTCGTAACAGATTCAAAAATATTTCAAAATGAAAAGTGAATCACCGGATCTGTTTCGTGTGTCACCACTGTTGGATATGCAAGATTTGTTTAAGACGCAAATGCAAAAAATGTTGCCTCAACACGACGCACAAGGCTCCGTAGTTTATATGTTTCGTGTTAGTAAGTGTGTCTTACCTTTATTTCATTCTTGTGACATTTTTAACCATTCAAATTAATTTCAGAGAACTGTGATCCATACAAGTGGCCAGCAGAGAAGGTTTTTCGTAGCAATATTATGGCATTGGAGAATGCAATTCGAGATCCACGTAATCAAATAGGAGGCTTATCTGTTGTACTTGATATGGCCGGTCTTAAACTCGCACACGCCAAATTTCTATCGCCACATTTAGCAAAACGAAGCGCCGAAGTCATACAAGACGCCTTCCCAATGCGATTCAAAGCATTTCACATTTTACACGAACCGTTTTATTTCGATGCGGTTCTGGCTTTAATAAAACCATTCATGAGCGAAAAGATACGAAATAGGGTGAGTGGATGCGCAAAGATCGTGATTTAGTTTGTATTTGAAATTTACGTCTTATTTTCAGATTTACACACATGGTAAAGATCTCCCGTCTTTACATCGGTACATTCCAAAGGAAATCTTGCCAAGTGAATATGGTGGCAGTCAAGGCGCATTCGACAACACTAAGTGGCGAGAACAGTTATTTAACGATGAACAATACTTTATTCGTCTAGAGACGTACAGCTGTGATCCAAAGCAACTGAGACACACTATTTCTGACTCAAAACCAAGCGGCCTTAAAGAGTCAAGAAAATCAAATGACGTAAATGGAAATGGATTTTTAATCAAATAATCGATATTGATATTTAATGATGAGAGAGTATTTTTTATGCTGTAATGTGACACATTTTGTATTCAATATTTTGCACACTCACTGTAGCAAAAAGTCTAAAATAAATAAACAAATTCCAAAAAGTACAACCGGGCACTGTATACGATGCTCTTATCTTTGCTCTTTGTGTCCTTGATAATTGAAACGATAAATCAATGTCAAATTATTTTATCCTTTGCTACGCCGAATTCAGTGCCACTTTTTAATCAATCACACGCGCACACTATTATACTATTAAAGCGCATATTCGTCATGCAAACCTCTTTCGTCCAAAACACTTTCGAAAGCAAACAGTGAAATGGTTTGAAAAGTTATTTGTATGAGGAATATTGTGTTGATGACGATAAAATGTTCTGTGCGTATGCATTGTATAACTTGTTAATAGTTATGATTATTAACATGTCGTAAACAATTTTTTGTTGTCCCGTAATGTTGTTGCAAATTTAAAATGAATGAATTATATGTGAGGTGCCATTTTGGCTGCTGGTCATTGTGACAAAAAAATGTTTATCTAACTGACTTTTGAATAGAAAACTTCTAATTTGTGAAAAAGTTGTTTGAATGATCGAAGTCGCACTGTATTCTGTACACGTGTACTATCCTTCATGGTAATAAGCAAAGCTGATGATAATAATTTAAAACAAAAGCCAAAAATTAAATTCCCATTTAAAAATCGTGTTTTATTTCGCGTTTATTCAACCAATGACATTTTGATCGCAGACATGCAAAATTTGGATGTTTCATTTTGCTGTTGATCTAATTAGAATCTACTGAACCATTAAAACAAACAAATCGTGTCGTTCAAGCTGAAATCTAATTTATTCACAATAGATCACTCTTATCAGTGTCTCTTAGTCGGTTGCGTGCCATTGAAAAGTGGTAGAAATTTATTATAAAAAATAGATTCAGACTCGATTCTCGAAAAATCTTAGATTAATCGTATTTTGCCTATCTATAGCCAGTTATAGATTTAGGCCTTAAAAATAGAATTAAATTGCGCATGACCAGCGATGTACATTGTTCCTCACTCCATTATAGCAACGTTAATTAATTTTTTCGTTGAGTTTTGTGGAAATTGTAGTATACACGGATTTCGATATATTACAGAACGAAAACTGCATTTCAGTGAAAGGTATGACATTTTTGCAAAATGTTAAGTTCTCTTTGAATTCTGTGGTAAAATACTTTCGAACTCTCATGTACAGATTGTGGTGGATGTTTTGTGTCGGGGTATCATTTTTGTTGTGTGGTCTATCGATTCAGTCGATTTGGGTAATTTGGCATGAAAGTCCAGTTACAATAACTTTCACTGAAAAAGATACGCCAATTTCAGAAATTCCGTTTCCACAGGTAAGCAAATGACAGCGTTATAGACATTTATTGAGTATTTCACATTAAGCATTGTCGAATTCATCTTTCATTTTCTCCACTCGCAGGTTACAATTTGTCCACTCGCCAAAGCCCTTAAGAAAAAAGTGGAAACACCGTCGGCCTTATTTTTTCATCGTCCAGTGGATAAGATGTACGGGAGAAATGTCAATAATTTGAAAAATGAAATGTAAATTCATTCGGATTGTTTTTTTATAGGAAAATAGATGCTTTAGCTCATTTATGTTTCGATAAATCTATTCACACTAATGAGTCACTTGACTATGTAAAATTTTCCGATAAATTCCTCAACAATTCAATTTATAAAACGATTGAAGAAATTGCACTGCCAATGGATGAAGTAATCCAATGGAGTTTTTGGCAAGCAAACTACAACTTGAATTGGTTTGTTCCGGTTTATACCGATGAAGGCTTATGTTTTGCATTTAATGCACTCAACTCACACGAAATGTATACCGAAGAGTATGTGATTGATTATAATTTTTGTTTGTGAGACTTGAGTTGAAATAAAATTATGAAATTATCGTTTCAGAGTGGCAGCCAAATTAAAAACAGTGCATGGAAATCCGAATATTTCGCATTGGAGCCTAGATCATGGATATGAAAGTGATGTGAATGAAAATGGATATCCACACCGTGTATTCAGTACAAATCCAAGACGATCATTGCGTTGTCACTTGTCGGTCAACACAGATGATCAATTTGTTTGCAAAAAGGGCCTAGGATACCAAGTATTCCTGAATGTTCCAGGCGAAGTCATACATACTCGAAGTTTTCCCATTAATATTCAATTTTCGCGGCGAGAAATAATTCGAGTCAAACCGAAATTGATAACAACAACCGAAAACTTACGCAATTATGCACCAAATCAACGTCAATGTTTTTTTGATTCAGAGCGTCGACTACGTTTTTTAAAATTGTATACACAAAATAACTGTGAAGCGGAGTGTTTGGCCAACTACACTAAGAGTGTTTGCGGATGCGTCAAATTTCATATGCCGAGTAAGCAGTGTTTTATTTATTTTCAAGCTGTCCAATTGGAAATATTCAAATGAATACAATTTTATTCTATTTAGGAGATGAAGATACGAAAATTTGTGGAGCAGCTAGTATAACATGTTATGCAACGGCGGAGTGGAATCTGTATGGTGACGATATAATTGTTGGTATGAAAGATCAAGATGCTCGCAAATTTCGTGAAAATTGCAACTGTTTGCCTGCCTGCCATCATATTGCGTATGTCTTTTTTTATTGATGTGATAAAATGAGTGCTGTTCCTTGTATTTAATTTTACAATGAACGAATTTGATTGAATTGACACATAAAATTTATAGAGAAAATCTCCAAAACTCATTACGTTTCAGATATGATGCCTCATTCGCAGCAGGCAGAGCACTTGGAGATATTTCAGACAAGTACTTGAATAAAATAAAAACTCAATATAGAAATAAGACAATAATTTATTTTTAGGATGGTTTCGGAAGTCATCGTACTGTTTCGCGAACCACAAATTATAACACTACAACGAACACCATTGTATACATTGACTGACTTTTTAGCCGCCTGCGGTGGCTTGCTTGGTTTATTTTTGGGCATTTCTGCATTGAGTGTTGTCGAATTCGTCTATTATTTTACGCTTCGATTGTTTTGGACTTTTCGTCAATCAAGAGACAACCATTTTTCGGTTAATATATCACTGCAACAAGAACGAATCAAAAGCATTTCCATTGACATACCAAACTACTAAACGTTAAAAAAAGAAAAACAAATTTCCGTAATAAAGGCTATTATCCAGTAATTAAAGAAACTATTTATTAATGATACTTAAACTAAATAAATAAACATTTCAACACTCTAATTTGGAAACACTAAAAAAGCTAATTTGAAAAAGTAACTATTTAATGTAATTATTTGGATTGAACGGCAAATTAAACGATTTTATTCCGGTTTTTGGGGTGGAATTGACCATGACATTGCCTAACATGGTGCAATGAATTATGGCCGCGCGGCAAAAAATAATTTTACATGTCGCAAATTCTGAAAGTGATAGAAAAGTTTTTCAACAAATATCACATTTTCCAATTTGACAATATTACTTCTAAAGATTTGTCTCCATGCCGATTCAAAAAATGTTTCTCTTATTAAATTAAAATTCATAAGGATAGACGCAATAACATTTTTCCAAAAATCTTATTTGAAAAGCATAGATTTCGTTGTGATTTTTTTATCAATTTATTTAGCAACTATTTATGCACACATCACAAAAAGATTTATCAAAAATAATTTTACGAATTTTATTTTTTTCAACTTTTTCGAAATGTTGTACTCAAAAAGTGCGAAATGAGGATAGACGCAGTCACTGTTTTGCTTTTAATAAACAATGTTGTTTACATTTTCATGATGTGTGTTGATGTGATTTACCGTTATGCACAGTTTAGAGTCGGTGCATACAATTTCACAATATTTGTGATGCAGTTGTCATTTGAATCACAATCGAAAAACACTTGGACGTGCAAATCAATTAACTGAAGCGGAAAAAGCCAAAATTTCTACATTAAAAGATTATCTGTACAGGTCAAACTGTCAGATAGGAAAGGAAATAAATTCCCGGCTCCACACCAGACAAAAGTTTAAAATTGACGCACAGTGATATATTGTCTCTTATTTTGTCCCTGAAAAAACTTTTGAATCTTGAATAAATTAATTCGTTTTCTCAATATTATAGTGTGCCTTTATGTTCATAAAAAATAGTACCAATTGATGAGTCAATGCCAAAAACAAGATTCAAATATCTTGCATACTGATGAAGCAGACACACCGTCATATTTCATTTTGATAAAATAGTATAAATAGTGTGAGTCAAATGCCGATGTTTGCATTAAAGTTCCATTTGTTAGTAACAAAACACTTCAACATCTTACATTGCTTTTTAAATAGAAAAAAAAAATACTACGAGACGATTTCATTGCAAAGCGTATAAAAGATCTGAGCTGATATATTTATTATGGATAAATTGTGCACACAACGAATCAAACAACTAAAGTGATCAAAAATTGGTTGTGTAAAGTAAAGTACGATTATTCAGAAATTATGGGGATTTTTTTTAAAGAAATGTGCCTCCAATATTGAGATCAGTTTTTAGAATTGTTTTGTTCATATTTTTCCATCAAAATATTGCACGTGTAATTTCTTGTCTAAAATGAAAAGAACAAATTAAGAAAAAAGAAGAAATTATTCAAATAAAGTTGTCGTCAACAAAATCTAATTTATCGCGTAACAATTATCATAGAGACTAACAGAGAGAATTGGTTTACGTTTTTTGTCTAACCAAAAGATAGCGCCATCAAATGTAGACACTGTGATCTAAGATTATCAAATAGAAATGACGCATTTTGTTCATCAAAATTGCCAACTAATTGCAATAAATTCAAATTTTCTGTCTCCAAATGAATCAGTTTTCAAATAAGATAAAGCGTATCTATGTGATTTTTGTTGATGAAACATTTTATACAGTATTTGTAAATTCCATTGCGTAATATTTTAGCATATAATCGTATAAATGTGATTCTCTTGTTTAGACGACGTATCTGAATTGTGTGGCAAAGCTTAGATTCATTTTTGGAATGGAAGAAAGTGGTTACGAGTTTAAAAATGTGGCTAATCAATATTGGGCTACGATTGCAGGTAAAAACCGTTTTCTTACTTAGAATACATTTAAGCATATTTATTATTATTGTTTGAGCATAATTTTAGCGAATTTGATTATGTTGGGGCACGGATGTGTGGTATGTTGGTTCACTCCATCTATTCCGATTTTGATGTCTGAAAAAACACCATTGATAAGTGGTCCTCTTACAAATGACGAAATGTCTTGGCTGGGTTCGATAAATAATGTGGGTGCGCTGGGTGGAATTTTTACATTTGGATATATAACATCGTTTTTCGGCTGCAAACGTGCTATGCTCTTTCTGGCACTTCCATCGATTGCCTTTTGGATTTTGATTTACTTTGGAAATACATATTATCATATTCTATTTGCACGATGTTTTGCCGGTTTTGTCGGGGGAGGTATACAAACGGTATTGATCCTCTTTGTGTCTGAAATTTCGAACGACAAGTAAGGGTTTCGTTGCCCTACTTTGATGAATGTCATGCTCTTGAATTATTACCCATTTTTAGCATACGAGGTCGTCTCAGCTCATTTACTACACTGTCACGCAACGTTGGCGTTCTGATTATATTCACAGTTGGCGCATATGTTGACTATCACATCGTCCCCTGCATTTTGATTTTTCTGCCCATTTTGTATTTGATTTGTTTCACTGCATTACCAAACACACCACAATTTTATCTACAGAAAGGCAACATGCAGGTAATTCAATAGATTTTTTTTTTACTGCAATCAGTGCATAGAGGAAAACTTTTAAGCTACAAAGCCATAGACGTACGTACTAATGAACGGAATTTAAATTTAAATCCAGGCAGCCGAAAATTCGCTCAGATTTTATAAAGGCTTCAAAGCAGAAAATCAACTGGAAATAAATGCATTCAATAAGGAATTTGAGAGACTAAAATCATTGGCAAATAAACAAAAAGAGGATAAAAAAGTGCATCTAAGTGACTTTTGTAAGCTAAATTCTGATATTTTAGGCTAAAGTCAATTCCACCAAATAAATTCATTATTTCTTCAATTTTAGTTGAGGCAAAGGCAATGAAGGGACTTTTCATCGGTATAACTTTGGCATGGTTATCGCAATTTCCCGGAAGCATTACTTTTTTGAATTATGCAGTTTTAATTTTTGAAAAATCGGGCCCATCAAAAATAGATCCATACACATCGTCAATAATATCGGCAATAGCTCAAATAATTGGTTGCTTTTTCTCTGCAAAACTAGCAGATTCACTGGGTCGAAAATTGTTAATGATTATTTCATTTCTTGGATCGGCTACTGGATTATTTGTTTATGCATTATACTTGTATCTCATTCAAAATGGCTATAGTTTATCGTCTTTTTCATGGTTACCAGTCACATCCGTATCTTTTATCATGTTTATCTCATCAGCTGGCATTTACACATTATACTCTGTTTGTTTTATCGAATACTTACCATCAAAGGTTTGTTTACCGTCTTAATCACAATCTAATCTCAATCCTCATATCGCTTGAAATTGGATTAAAAATATTTTTTTTTTTGCACAGATTCGAACAATTGGACTCACAATTTGCGTTTTATCCATGTACATTTCGGCATTTATATTTGTCAAAATGTTTCCAATTATTCTCACATTGATTGACCTCTATGGATGTATGATCATTCTAATGGTAGGTTGTGTGGTTGCAGCATTTTTTGTGATATTTGTTCTGGACGAAACAAAAGGACAAACTCTAGATACGATCCAATCAACTGAAAAGAAATAATTGAACTTTAAACATGAAAAATCCATTTTAAATGACTTTGAACTTCACAAAGTAATACACTTAATTTTATTGCGACTCAATAGCATAGAATTTGACTAAAGTTGGAATTGGTTTGCCTGCACTTATGAGCAATTAAGGTCTATTAAATATTTTAATTTGTAAAAATTGATTTGAGTCACTAGACTAGATAGATAATGAATAGTAAACGCCTGTTAAAACGCCAATGTAATTAGATTTGTTAAGTATAATGCATAGAAGACACACCGGGAATCTCTTATATACACTGCGAATATAGTCTATATATAATGATGAAATAAAACATGAAACTCAAAAATCGTCAACTCATCATAGATATAAATCTTCGCAATTGAAATGTAAAGCGTGAGTAGAAGGACAAATATTTAAATTCGAACAAAATATCGTAAGATATAATAAAAAAGTGGTCAACTCAAGTACTGTTGTTTGGTTTCGGGCATTCTTGTTTATTTTGTGATTTTTTTCCTTCGTAAATATCCGATATTTAAATCAGTTTGTACATTCAATTTGGAAGAAAACAACGAAATTCACTGGCGATAGAAAATTTGCCTCAAATACGTTATCATTATTCTTGGTGTTGATAAAATTAAAGCTGTCAACAGGTCATACACGTGCAAATTGTGTTCAGACTATAGACTTTATCCTACTTGATGCAGCTGGATATGACAGAGTAAATTAAAATGTGGATGAATGTTTGTGTGCAAACACGGCTGAAAAAACAATATAAAAACGAATTAACCGCAGTCGCGATCGGACGTTCGATTACAACACATGTTCTCCGCATTAAAGAGACCGTGATTTTTATTTTCAGTTTTTACAATCACAAATGCGTAATTCATTTCCTATTATAAATGAGTAATTGATGTCATACATTTTTGTTAACTTGATTTAGATCTCGGTGTGATTAAATTGTGAGTTTTTTTTGTATTATTACACTATGGAAAATAATGAATTTAAATGGCGCAATGAGCACCAGTATTATGCAGCTGTAGCAGGTATTTCGGTGTTAAATTTCTTTATTGTGAAACGGTCATGCAATACGTTATACTTTATGTGATTTGTTGCCAGGCAATCTGATAATGCTTGGACATGGATGCGTTACCGGTAATTATTAATTAATTCATTTATAAAAAATTCAAAAAAAAAAATTAAAAAATAATTCTTATAATAAAAAAAATAGGTTGGTTTAGTCCAGGTAAAGATTTATCTTAATTGACTTCCTTATTATCAAACGATTAATGGTTTTCACCAAAGCATTGCCAAAGCTTTTATCTGAAAATACGCCGCTTGTTCATTCGGGACCATTGAGCAGTGAACAGGTATAAAAAAAAATTATCTGAATAAAGTTGTCGTCAACAAAATCTAATTTATCGCGTAACAATTATCATAGAGACTAACATAGAGAATTTGTTTACGTTTTTTGTCTAACCAAAAGATTACGCCATCATATGTAAACACTTTGATCTAAGATTATCAAATAGAAATGACGCATTTTGTTCATCAAAATTGTCAACTAATTGCAATAAATTCAAATTTTCTATCTCCAAATGAATCAGGTATCCTGGGTTGGTTCGATTACAAACATCGGTGCTTTGTGTGGAACTTTTACATTTGGATTTTTTTCAACGTTTCTGGGATGCAAACGTGCAATGATATTTTTATCTTTGCCATCAACAATATTTTGGATACTTGTTTATTTTGGTGACGCTTATCATCATATTTTGCTCGCTAGATTCTTTACGGGGTGGACTGGTAATTGTAATTTATAATTAATTCCAAAACAATTTGCCATCTAGATATTGTACATGCGGTGTTATTTACAATTTCTTTTTACTCTATTACCTTAAAAAGGTGGCGGCATACAAACGACAGCAGTCCTGTTCATCTCTGAAATTTCAAATAACAAGTTAGCGATGAGTATAGCCTGAGAATGAAAATGATTTCACAAATCTCCGATGCTAACAAAAATGGTCACAAGTTCTTACAAGCCGGTTGGACTTAAGTCATTTCCATTCTCGGCTATTCAATTTTATTTTGAAATGTTACCATATTTTTTATGTTTTTATTTGATTGTAGTATACGAGGTCGATTAACTTCGTTGATTCAGCTTTCCCGCAATACAGGCATATTGATATCATTCATTATTGGTGCTTTTGTTGAGTACAAAACAACACCTTGCATTTTTATATTTATTCCGTTGTTGTATGTACTTTTCTTCTCATTCTTGCCAAACACACCACAGTATTATCTTCAAAAGAACCAAACTCAAGTAAGAGATTGTGTTTTTTTCTTCTAAATATGTAATTTAAAAGTAATGATCACTTTATATCCCAGGAAGCCTATGATGCTTTGAAGTACTACAAAAATTACAAAGGAAAAAGTGAATTGGAAATCAATGCGTTCAATAACGAATTCGAGCGCCTTCAATCGATTGCACAAGAGCAAAAGGCGGATGAAAAGCTTCATTTTCGTGATTTTAGTACGTATTTCAATTGAGTTTTTTTGACCAATTTCACCTAAGCTTCTTGCTTTTGATCCATGCAGCAAATCGAAAAGCCATAAAAGGGATTACTATTGGAATTTCCTTGGCCTATTTTTCACAGCTCACCGGATGCTTCACCATCATCACATACGCTGTTTATATTCTTGAGAAAACGGGCACCAAACTTGATCCATACTCATCCTCAATTGCGCTTGCTGTGATGTTAATTTTGGGAAATCTCTGCACAACTCATCTCGCCGACAAATTTGGACGGAAAACTTTTTTGATCATATCAATTTTAGGATGTGCCACTGGTTTAATCAGTTTATCGACGTTTTTATATATGAACAAGCACGGATACGATTTATCACATTTTGCATGGATACCAGTGGTTTGTTTGGCATTCATCGTTTTTATCGCATCAGCCGGTATAGTTCCACTGTCACATGTATGCAGAGTGGAAAACCTACCGACAAAGGTAAAACAACCTTGTCAAAGTTTTGTACAACTATAAGATGAAAGTACCAACCAAAGAAATTAACCATCTCCCTTGATCTACATTATAGATTCGAACAGTCGGACTAGCCATATGTATTTTTGCTTTAAATATCACGTCATTTGCATGCACAAAACTGTTCCCATTGCTGTTGGATAAAGTTGATCTTCATGGATGTATGATGATATTTGCCATCAACTGTATTGTCGGTGCATTTTTCATTTTTTTCATTTTGGCTGAAACGAGGGGCCAACCGATGGACACACTCAAAGCTGAACAAAATCGAAATAAAACAATAAACTGTTAAATAAATTTAAGAATTTTGAAAGCTGTTTGTGAATAAAGAATAATTGCTAGTTCGAAGAAATGACAAAATTTATCGAAAATTCGAGGCGTCTCCATGTTTGTTGTGCTTTGCTGACCGAAGTGTATTCATTGATAACGAAAAGTAGTATGAGGTTGAACCGATGCCGATGAATACGAAGTTGTAATGCTGACCAATTTAAATGATTCATTCGCGTGATATCGTGTCAAAAGGCAATCGAATACACATATTCATAAGATACAGTTGCTCATCGTTTCCCGCTCTTTCAATTGTTGGGTTAGTAGAGCATACATTGCAATGACTTTTTGTGATGCAGTCGAATGCATCTCTTGCAATGTTTTCATCGTCACTATGCCCACCAATTTATCTAAGCAATTCAAATCATTTCAGGGAGTATATATGTTTTAAATTTGAAATTTATTCATTGTGTTAGAATATTTTAGAAATAAAATACATATTACTTTTGTATTGTCCGCTATGTGCGTGCTAGGTCTTTGCACTCTTTAAGAATACAATTCAGTTTTGTAATGTTCAAAAAATAGAGAGAAAACCAAACAGCGTTTATAATTAATTAATATAAATTGGATTTAACGTCTAAATATAATTGTGGATTCGAAGTCAGACGTGCGTTTAACCCGTTCGCAAGTGACATGATCAACTGAGAAAATGTCTTCCCAGAATTGGAACATCAAAGAATTTAAAGCGGACGCAGAGTTTAATTGCATCGTCTTTTTAAAAAGCGAAACACAAACACAGACATCAATTCGTAATTCATTAAATTCAATCGATTCGCTTGTTTAGTCAAATGAATTGTTTTGTGTTTTGGATCATTGCGTAGGCAGCTACTGAGGAAATCAGTCAATTTGTTCTTTAATTAATGACTAACTCATTACAGAATCACATCATCATGTTTCGACAATCACATTAAAATCGAGTTCAAACAAAACCGATTACACAACTTTCCAATCGAGAATAAGGTTCGATCAACTTGATGAAAAAAATTTATGATTCGGACATATGAAATCGGATTAATATTGAATAATCATATGGGTATATTATCAATATTTATTCTACTGTGGTATATTGGCCCGAAAAGTTTTTTTTTTCATTCTCTTTTAATAGAAAAAACAGTCGCTGTTTTCTGAAAACAAAAACATGCTTCAACACTGAAACGTTCAAGATTAAGTAATAAAAACGAAAAAAAAAAAAATAAACAGTAATGAACATGACCGCTATGAATCTGTGATATGGAAGAAGGTGACAAATCTAATAATAAACAATAATAGCCAATGAGAAATCCGGGCGATGCGACAAAAAATGGCATTCATCTGAATAATTTATTAATTCAATAAATGTATGTGTGTGTGACAATTATGATATGCATTATTAAGACGAAGTCAACCATCGCATCTACCATACGATGCTCATTTCAACATTCGATGTTCTCTCGACGAGTACTTGATCGAGATCTTTTGTTGTCCCCATTTAAGCAGTTATGGTATGTGTCCATGCATTTTATAGAAAGACTAAATGTGAAAACAACAATGTGTTTCACATTATGTTCGGGTTCTCTTTTATCCATTTTGGATCTCATCAAATAGGATCAACAACATAAAATCAACGATAAACATTAGTTTTTCATGCTAATTCACGCAATATTTTGCCTTTTTTCCTGTGTTCATGTTCAAATATTTCGTTTTTTTTTTTCACATTCAAAAGCAACATTTTATGAGTTTTTATGTTTTTTTATCCATTCTTCTATTGTTAAGCATATAAACAGATTAGGGTGGTGTGTTGTTTATTTAATTGACAACTCATCACAATTTTATTAGCTTTCTAAATATGGCCTGGCATTTTATTCCATCGAATTAATTTCGTTGCGTTATTTTGTTGTTTCGATCCACACTAACTCTTGAGCGTATTCAGTTCACAAAGACCCGCACAATAACTGCTGGTATTATTTCATTTAGTTTGTTGCTGTTGATATGAACGGACGTTTTCTGTTCCTCACGCGACTTCAATTGAGCAATTGAATTTTGATTGAATTACTGTTTTAACTTCATTTACATTGTGTGCGCCTCTGTTTTTATGATGAAATATTTTACCGGCAATCACAGAATAATAATAAAAACTCTCAACCCTTCGGATACGGATAAATAAACAGTGAATTTAAAGTTATTAAAAATGGATTGTGTGATTGATTGTGTCAATCAAAGTTTTATAGTTATGTGATACACGTAATTTTTATTTACTGGAAAATTTATGTTTTGTGCTCAAGGTCAGGTGTAAAGTGACATTAAAAGTAAAGAAACACGTTTTGTGGAAAGAATACTATGGTGATAAGAATTTATTGATTTTAAATTGTATTGGAAAACCATTGTGAATATATTCTTTTGCAATTCTAAACATTATTTGGCGGGAAAGAAAACAGAGATTAAGAAACCACATAAAATACACTCCTCGACAACGTAATCTTCTTTACATGGATTTAAAAATGGTCATTGATGAATGTGACCTGCGTAAAATCCATATTGTTGGCATTTTGATATGGATTTGTGGTATCGGAGTGATTAAAACTGAGAATTACTTTACATCGAACTCGGAAAATTTTGAATCGGTTCCAACAACTATTAAAACCTATGAAAATGACACCGTTTTATTGCCGTGCTATTCAGTGGGTGAGTTTTGTTTTGATCGAAATAACTAATGTTTGATATTGGGAACTATGTGAAACGGAACTATTTTTCTCATATGGCAATGGAACCATTTTTAAGGTTCATAAATATAAATTTCGAGATTGAAGAAAAAAAAGATAATATCAATTTTTTGTTGTTCTAATTTTTTAAAGTGCTGCCTACCTTTTACCATTATAATGACCCATAGCTATTGTTATTTTTTAAACTATGGTCCATTATTGATGGATACCTCGATAAAGAACATATTAATCAAAAAACATTTTATCTTGACAAATAGTGTTTTGAGATCATTAATTTATGTACATATTTATAAGATTGTTCTAAAATTCTTTAAACAAAATGAGTGATATTTTCATCATACCTGAAATCATTTCGTTTCAAAATAAATCATAAAACGAAATCTGTCTTGAGAAAGACAGTGTTAAACGTATAAAGAATGTAATGTAATCTCCGTTGATAGCATCGCAACACGTTCAAAACCTTGCGTCCAAACGAATTAAGAGACGAAGAAAATTGACAATGAAGAAACCGTCTCGGGTAGGAATTTGATACATATTAGTCGCACTCTTATTTCGTGTGCACCAATTTTATTCAACGACTATAAAACTCTCTTTTGTGTTTCAATTTATGTTTATTTAAATGGATGAATGAATTGGAGACATGGTTTTCACTAGCCCCTGATTATTCGATTATCAATTCATTGTAACGGAATAAATCTAATGGCACGTAAGCAGTTTAAGTTAATTGAATTTAAAGTTGAATTTTAAGAAATGTTCAAATTTGGAGCATCCTCATTGGCGACGAATGCATTTCAATGCATCGAAAGAAAGACCGCATCGGCGAAGTAAACAAAATCATAATAAGCTATTATTTAAGATTTTCTTCTATAGCAACGTATAATTTTACCGACGTCATATATATATTTTGAATCAAGATTTTTTGATGCTTGAATTCGAATTAGATTAGACAGTCTATCTTTTTTTTCATCCATTTTATTTTCGAATTATTTGCTTTTCATTTGAACACTAGTATCGTATCAGTGGATACGTTGGCTTCGTGACGACATTCCGATCATTGATTCACGAAATCTTGGAGTTTCACCCTCGCCACGCATAACACTGTTCAATAATGGCAGCTTACAAGTGAGAAACGTGGAGCGAAACGACACTGCTGAGTATTTATGTGAAGTAATGACAACATCCTTTTCGCTTGAAACACAACTGCATGCAATCGAAGTTCAATGTAAGTCGCCATCGTATGGCTCGTTAACTGTTCTTCCAAATGCTCATTTGATTGATGACATTTGAAATAAAAACGTTAACATTAATTTGTTTTTGATGTGATATTTTGTATTCTATAATATTTACGACAAAAAAAAATCTAGATCCACCGACTGTTGTGTCGCAGCCCAGTGGTCGCATCGAAGTCAAAATGGGTTCAGTGTTCGAAATAGTTTGCGAAGCGCATGGCATTCCTCAACCAATTATATCGTGGAGACATCATGAGCAATCGAGCAGCACACAATTGGAGAATGTTCGAAGAAAATTGATCGAAGTAAATGATCGTAATATGGCTGGCAAAATTGAATGCATTGCTACAAACGGAGTGGGTCAACCGGCTGTTGCTGGTGTTGATATGATTGTTTTGTGTATGTACAGCAAATATCTAATGTATTCGAGTTAATTCGTATTGAATTGATCTCATTTATATTTCTATTAAATACAGTTGAACCAGAGATAAAAGCTGTTGAAAATATTGTGCACACAAAACTGCAATTAAATGCACAGTTGGAATGTGTGGTCACATCACAGCCAGATTCAAAAGTACATTGGTTCCACCATGGATTTCCAGTAGCATCAAGCAACCGAATTCTTCGTCAAAATCATGCGATTCTTACAAATCAAACAGTCAACGATTACCATTCTGATACAAAACACATTTTAATCATTCGAAATATCATGGAAACCGACCTTGGAATGTATGAATGCCGTGCTGAAAATTTAATTGGACTGAATAGTGCCTCAATTGAGCTTACCGGTCGCCCATCACTTCCTACGTTCAAGAAGTCGCCGCAAACACAGGACCCAAGCTCACATTATTTAATTTGGCAAATCGAAAGCTTATCGCCACTTTTCGAGCACATATTGAAATTCCGTAAAGTCCCTTCGGGCAATGTAACACCACACAATCGCAAATATGCAACAGCATGGCATGAAATCGTCGTGCCAGCAGAGATATCCGAAGGTAAACAATTTTGCTAATTGGATGTGATCTTTTTTGTGCATTTATCCGTATTTATTGACACGCAGGCCCAATACACACAACTGGATATGCGCTCAAAGGATTGGAACCAGCAAGTGTTTACGAAGTTACTGTCGTCTCACGCAATCGTTTTGGATCCAGTGATTCATCGCGTATCATTCGCTTTGCAACGTCTGGCGAAAGTATGTACATTTTTTTTTAAATGTTTACAAGTTTCTCTCTTTTTCCAATGAACTTTTTCATCTTTCATTCTTTCGAAACAATTTACTCTTAGTTGAACTAAATTATTCAACGGAAAGCACAGATGAAGAAACATATGAACAAAGCTACTACGATGACGCTAGCTCATCGGCAATGGAACCACATTCAACGCTGGACAACATAGATCCGTATGGACCTTTTCCGTACAATACATATCATGGTTCAGCTTCCAAAAGTGCCGAAACATCTCTTTTGTTATTCGCAATAGTTGGGTTATTTTTATTTCATTGAACAATAAAAGCAGAATGATCAAAATGAAATCTTGTGTTTTATATTTTTAAATGATATAAGCAATAACATCAAAATCAGCTTATTATTTACAGTAATAAAATTAAAACTTGTCCGTTAGCATGAAAATCAATTCTTTTTATTTTTGGTAAGTACCCTCTTGAGATTAGTATTTGTTTGACTCACATTATTTCAGTGAAACATAACTTGACCAGTTTCGAAATATTTTTCACGGAACTGGTGCTTTTTCAATGCTCAACCAACTTTCATCCAAAATGAGGCTTAAATGAAAACTTCCTGCACGTCACAAAAGATGGCAGCTCTTTATACTTCGAGTCGAACATTTCAACGGTTTTTTTTTCAAACCTTCAAATCACAATAATTGTTGTAAGTGGAGCTGGTCAAAAAAAGACTCATCGAATTCAAGCAGAGCGACGAAATAATTGACTGTATTTAATTTTGTGTTTGCTATTATGCAAATCAATTAAGTGTCAACGTGTAAATATTTACCCAGAGTGGGTTTTAGTCGATGTCATAATGTGTCATATTTTATACTGGCTTTACGGTTTCTTCTTCTTTTTCTTCTTTTGGCACAGAACTCGGTGCGATTTTTTCCATTTCAAATGTCACGAATATAATTAAAGTAAGTCAATCATATCTTGGATTTTATAATCTTGGTGAATTCAGTTCACATTTTTGCAATCAGACAGACACCGCGCAAGATGAACATAGCACTGTGTTTTCGAAATGCTTCCCATGTGCATATTAATTCTTCTATTTAATCATGTGACTTAAACCGTATCGTGTTTATATTCAATATTGCGATTAGTCTAATAACATAATTTTGTAATAAACACAAATTTGTTTGTTTGTACGCATTGAAACGACACGATCTACTCTCTTCAAACGAATTTGCATTACCTTGTTGAACGACAAAAATCTTGCAATCTTGTTATTATTATATTTGATGTCATGAATAAAGTTTTATAATGTCGACGGTTGTTATCAAATCAAGTGTTGTATTCACAGAATTCAAATGTATGATGATGATTTCTCCCACATATTGTCGGCGCAAACCACTGAAAGTCGCTTGCAATTCAGGATAATGTCGGTACATGCAATCCGGCATATATGTAAATAGTTGGTGTGTGATTTCTGAGAGCGAACATTTAACAAGATAAAGACTTGATAAACGATTGTTTAAACGATAAATTGCTGTGTATAACACACATTCGTTTAAGTTCATATGGTCTGAGAGAAAGATGTGATGAGATATGAAGTAAATCGTCTTTTGGTTTCGGTGTTTTTCTCCGTCTCTCTCTCTCTCTCTCTCTCTCTCTCTCTCTCTCAGTTTCATCGAAAAATTGCCTCGAAGCTATTTAGAGTGCTACTACGGTTGCTGCATAAACTAATTCGAAAGACGGAACTTTCAATTTAAATTAATCGTCTCAAATACATTTATTTATACAGATTAAATGGAATTGTGGATTCCAAATAAATATAAACATACATTTCAAAGAAAATTATGTGGTACACAAAGTGTTGGCAACAATACCCGCAATACGGAACACATTGTACCGAAGAATCGCGTAAAAGGATGTGTACTACTGTGAAGTTGAAATGAAGTGAACAGTCAATAAAATCAATGATCATGAGGGCAATGCTTTTGGATTATGACAAACAATTCACTTGGATTTCATTTTGCTTGAAATCTGTTGTTCCAAATGAAAATAAGAAAACCAACAAAAGTCAATTCGTAATGCTAAACTAAAAATAAACATAATAAACGGATCATAATGCTTTAACTCGTTTTTTTGCATGTTTACCCTTTTTCCATGATGAATGCGTGAAGACGTTTAAATTATTTGCCATAAATCATGAACTAACGTGGCGACTCACGGTTGATGTCAGCAAACTAGCGATATTTGATTGGACTGTTCGGTTTATCAATGACAGTCCACCGAAGCGACGGCTGGAAAAAATCATTTACATTTCAATTCAATTTATCAATTTTTTTTGTAGAAAAAAATCAGTCAGATTGTTTTATTTACTTTCAATAACTCAAGCGACGGTGAGCGACTCATGAAAACGACCACCAATGAGTGAAGCCATTTTATATTTAAATTCAACTGAGAAAATACAGATAATAAAAGTCCATTCGTATATAAAATGACTGTATACATTTGAATGAATTGAAGAGTAAACTTATAAAAACTTTTATAGGTAATAAAAATTTCATGATGAGCGATGTTGTGTGTCCGATTGTGCTTGCACGATTACAGAGTATTAAAAAAATATCAAATAAAAAGACAACTCATATCTACTGGTTCGTGTCATAAACTAATTAAGCCAATTATTGAACATATAAAAAAAATATTCTGTTTACATTTTGAAAAATCGAGAAAACCTATGAAACTGAGTCATCGAAACACCAATGAGACATAAAATTAAGCACTTTATCTATGTTTTTATTGCTCTTCTGCTTTTTTTTGTCTTAGTTCCATTGTTTCATGTGGTTTTTCTCAAGTAGAAGTATGCCTCAATCAATTTCTTACGAATGTGATGCAAATTTTTTTTTTTTTTTTTTTGAAAAACATTTTTCTATGGTTAGTTTTGCATGTTAGCATCAAACCACACAATGCATTTTTACAATTGCCAGATCAGTTTCATGAAAACAAAAGTTTCCCTTGGTGTTAAGTCTGGGATTTGCTAACGGCTTAAATATTTCGGGAGCAATTTGTTTATTATTTTTCTTTTTAACTTCTCTTATGCTCACTTACTTCCTCGGTACATGCTCAAACTTCGATAAACACAGACAGCACGCACAAGCAACACGACCAACCTACCGAGAATATACAAATATTTCGGTTTTTATTACTTTCAACGTTTCCAATACGCCCGAGCCAATGAATGCGCTTTTCATTCGGTCTCTTCCGACGGTGTGTATGTCTGTGTGTTTATTCAACTCGAATATTTTCAACAACAACATCAAAAAGAATGAAACCACTACGAAAAATGCTGTGTAAATGCGGATGATATGCGTGCGCGTGAGAAAAAGGTGGGACTTCACACGAAAAATGAAAATCAAGAACATAAATCTTTTTACACTGATGCCTGTGTCGCGCGATAAACCACATGTTCATTTAACGCTTTTGTTTTCAAGCAATGGAATCCAGTGTTCTTCTTGAAATCGAATATAACAACAAAACAAAGAGAAAAGAAACGGAGTTGAAACAAAAAAAAAGTACTATATTCATAGCATTTGATAAATATATCATCAGAATGCAAAATGTTTAGTTTGAACTATGGCAATTTCGTTTGGCTCATGCTATGACAAATCATCCACAACAATATATGCGTTAAAAAGCATCCAATGGCTCAGTGTCACAGTTGCAAAACGCATTTTACGTTTGAAAACAACAGTTGCAAATCGCTGGTTAGAAATCGAATGCACCGTGACACTGAGCCGATTTGGACCGACTGTGAATACGATTGAATCGGTAGGTGTCTTTTTTTCTCCTTCTGTTTCGATGAAATCGCGTTGACAACAAAACCATATTTTGTAACTGAATAAAACTTGATTTACAAAATATTTTCAACGCTAAATCGATACATATTTCTACGTGATTTACACAAGCAAAAGGAAGACTTGAAACACTCAATAGAGTGAAATTCGCCCGAAACGACGAAGAATCCGAGCGCGCAATCACATAAAAAGATGATGATAGAAAAAAAAACAACACATAATCGATGGAATGGTTGTAACATCTTTTTTTAAGTGTTGTTTTCATGTTAGTACCGTTGCCAAAGCGAACGTGATCAAGAATTTGTTATTTGGAGAAAGAGAGCTACTTTTGATTCTTTTTTTTTAAGCACACATTTCATATCCGATCGACTTGGGTATGATTTTTATTTTCTGAGTTGCTTGTGTACACATTTCTCCAGTGGTTCTATGGTACGTGCGGTAATTTTGATGAGTTGTATGTTATTGTTATATTTTCAATTATTATCGAAATTTTATAATCTCGAATGCACACGCCGTCAATCAATTCCTACTTCAGATGGTTCAAATTATAGAGTGAAAACAGCCGGGCATAGAGAATGTGTGGAAAAGATGACAGAGAGAGAGGGAGAGAGTGAGGGTGAGCAAGAGAAAGATGTTGAAGTGTCTTTTGATAACACGCAAATCGAAATTCAATGATGCTGATAGGATCGAGGTTGACTGTCGAGTAATACTTGTAAACGCACTAATGCCATGTGATGCGTTTAAGGAGCGCACATCGAACGAATGCGAATAATAGCATCATACAGAATTATAACAAAAGAGAACGAGATTAAACCTTTTGAGTTTAACGCAAACGCTTTCAATGTGAAAACATTTATTGTTGACTTCCTGTTGGCAGTCGCAAAATATTTCAAAATAACACGATCGTTCTTAGCGCGTTCAAATTTCTCTTCTTCTTAATATTTTTCCCTTGTATTCTGCCTATGCTTCAGCTCTCGCTCTCTATGCGGTTGTCATTGAAGAGATGCGAAGAAAAAATAAACGCGCGAATGTATTTAAAATGAATTGTCATAAAGACGTAAGTAACGAAGTCTTCATCGCCAGCAAACCATAATTGGATTCGATGTGCTTTGATTATATCCAGATTAAACCACAACAAATTCGAATTTTTCAGTCGGATCACAGTCAACGTTTCCAAATCTTTGTATTCATGTAATTTCATTCTAACGTCGAAACCAGTAAAATGGTAATTCTTATTTGTCTTTTTCCAGCTGAGGTCGATTTTTGATTCATTTCTCTGTTTCGCTGGATTAGTCAATATACAACATTTTTTTACATTGTTTGATATCCGGAAATTGCATGTCCACTGACAGAATACATTTCTTTTCGTAAATTTGTCATTTTAGTGCAATCTGTTCACTATTTCGTGTAAACAGAAATTTGTATTTTCCAAAGAGAGGAAGAAGCAATTCACCATTGAAAATGACATAATTTCAACTAAATCAGATTGAGTTAAA